TGTTACAAAGACCAACAAAATAATGGATATCTATTATAAAGTATGAAGAAGTTCCTGTCTTCTTGAAATAAAGAGGAAATAAATAATATGCATAAAATACATTTTTCCTTTAATAGTATATGTCACCGATTCCAATACATGTATGAGTATGAGCAGCATGGATGACATTGAAGAAGAAATAGATGGAGATGAAGATGAAGGTACTAAATAACATAGAAGGACAATTAAAGAACCACAAAAAGAATAGCCAGATTATAAGTAAATGAAATATGTTTAACGTGTAATTAGTGTGAAATAAATAAGATGTAGATATCATTATTGCACGTGCACGCGCAAGCATGTGTTAATATGTCATATTTAAAAATATTTGATATATTTTCATATTTTTTATTTTTATATTTATATAGAAATTGATTTTACCAGTTAAAGGCTATGCCCTGGTGTGGGATAATGTACAGTAAGAGACAAAAAGAAGACATCACTGCAAGGATGGAAAAGACCATTTTCACATATGGGCATTGTGTTATGCAGTTAAAAACCTGTATTAGGTTAGTTTTATTTATGTGTCATTCAGTATAATAAAGTATAATGTCTTTAATAATTAGTAAGTGGTAGACCAATGCAATTTGGATCTTTAACACTGTTATAATCTGTAGTTTCATGCTTGACAAAATTCCTTTTATTTTCTGGATGATTTTTAATAATGCTGAGAAAATATTATATTTATTATTATTGCTATTATTATTATTGAAATCAGACAAATGATTGAAGTCTTATGATAATATACAATTGCATAATATATAAAATTTAAAACCTCATAGATAGCATCAATTTAAGTCGGACTTGATTAAAATAAAATGGTAAATTTCAATAGACCAAATTCATTTCAAGGGACATGTTTAAGTATCTTAACTGACAGTTTGAAATAAACAGTTTGTCTACAGCTTGCTGAATCGGGTCAAATAACTATACATAGCACAGTTTAAGCAGCAGCTAGTACATAACTGTTGAGCTGTTTCAAAAATCTAAGCCAGAAGCTAGGTCAGGAATGTTCTAAGAGGCAAGAAATCTGAAAACATTGATTTCTGGATTGAAAAGAAGACATTTTTTGGAAAATTAGAAAGAAAAATGAAGAGATGAAGAGACAGGATAAGAAGTGAGCATGTCAATCTTTTAATTTTGTATTTTCCTATAATTTACGTGCGTATCCTTAAGTGTTTCATGATTTCAGACATTTAGCACAAGAATTGGGGCTCTCCTGTACTGATGATCGCCTCTTATTTCAAAAACTTCTCAGCATAGTGTTTCAGCACTGCATGGTTGAAAGAGAGAGAGAGAGTGCAACTGTCACATCCTACACTGCAAAATTACGTATTCATTGACTGACAAAGAAGAGGAAACCCTGAGGTATGTGAGCCAGTATATGTGCCTTATGCCTTGCTCAGACAGTTTGCCCAAGACAGTGGTAAAATACACAAAACGTTCGCACAGGTTATGTCATTGTGGAATACCGCATCAAACCCATGTGCATCACTGGAGCCCACTAGAGCATGGATTGATCAGTTGAACAGAGGGGGACTGTTCTTAGTGAGTGATCAAGTGTACCTTTTTTTTCGGCAAGTAGAACTTGTGGTCAGGTCCATATTTAATAGGGATTTACTGAAATTGTATCAGGGAGAAGCAATTGCCAATGCCATTTTTCAAAAGTTGTTGGCTAGTGAGACAATTAAGAGAGCATGGTGCTCAATAACGTCTCAGATAGAAAGTGATGGGACAAGTTTTTATTTATTCAAATGTACAATGCAAAAGTATGTTGCCATCAAGGGCAATTCTTTTCCCGATCATGGAAGAAGCAATTAGACATGTTATTTTCAAAACAAGTTTCAAGAAAAGGTGAAAAAAGTTTGAGAGGCACTCTTAAAAAATAAAATGAAACTGTTTTAGCACAAATAGGAGATATACATATATTTTGACATGTTACATGTTAACCTCAGATACATGGTGTGTTCACTCACTTTTAAATGCAAGGTCAGTGTTTGCAGTTTAAATATCATTGTTTCTCAAACGTGTAAAGGACGGCAAAATTGTAGCTTTCTTTGGTCATTGCATTTTCAGCATTTTTTGTGGGCAGTGGTTTGATCATTGTAATTTTAGTTTGTATGTAGGTAATTGGAATTATAGCATATAATCAGAGAATGTGATGGAGAAGACATCAACAAATAAAATATCTATGTAAGTGGTAAAGTGTGCCCTGTCCATTACTGTGCAATTTTTTAAAAATGCTTTTGTAGAATTCTTTTATATTCAGATAGGAGGAAGAGTGGTAGATTTTGGGTATCACTTCTTTTAATTTTGCAACTTTGACTTTGCAATTGTAATTTTGAAAATACAGGCAGGATTTTAGCTTTCTTAAAGTTATTGCTATTTCAAAATGAGTTTTTTCTTCAAGCAGAGGTTGTATCTATGTCTATTTAGTTTGTTTGTAGATCTTTTGAATTTTGGAATAAAGTCATAGAACATGATGATCTTATCAAGAGTTAAATGTTGGTTATAAACTTTTAGAGAATGAAAGATAAACAAAATGCTAATGCCAATCTTTCAGTAAACAAAACTTAAACGATATGGTGGTATAAAAGGTGAAAAGGTTGAACTTTTGGCAAATGAAAGTTCATGAAAAAGTGAATGGCGGTCTTTTGGTGAGATAAAGGTTGAAAAAAGGTGACCTTTTTCAGTCTGAAAGGTGAAAGAAGGTCAGAAAAAAGGTGTGATCAAAGATGAGGGTTCATATTCTGATAACATTTTGGAAGTAACTGAAAGGTGATAAAAGGTCTTTTTGTACAGTGATAACTGAAGCAAATGCATGCAACGAATAATTGGACATCCCCTTTGACCAACAGCAGCTGTCTTCAATTTTGAAAAAGCACTGTATACTGCCATAGAAAGCGCAAAAACTGACTTTTCCTCTTTTTGTTGTCTGGTGATAGGCTCAGAAAAGCACCATGTTTCTATCTAAAATATACCTTGTTGCTATTATGATGGCCAAACCAACTAAAATTATATTGCGTTATCCAAGAACATTAAAAAGTAAAGGCACAAACTTTACAGTGGCTTAGCTTGCCAGGACCTGGGCTTAGTGAACACGGAAAAAGAAATAACAGAAGAAACATGTCTCAGGATCAGTTTCATATGCTCATCGAGAATATCCACAGTCTGACAAAGCAGAGACAGATCGAGGCAGAGAGACAAGGCCTCCGATGGGCTGAAAAAAGAGAGAGACACTCTCTACAGGACTTGAAGGATCCGTTTCATCCTAAAGATGGAAAAGACCCATCGGAAACCCCGAGAGTGGATAGACCAAATGGAGCAGGCAATGGAGTTAGCTTTACTCTATCACTCCTTATAATGGTAATTGCCAAACAGGCATATTCAGCTGACATCCAACCATTATCAGACGGACTGCTGATAACGGGACGTGAATCAATGAGAATCCAGGCAGTTGAATGGATCCTACTCGTCACTATCGACAGATCTACTTTCACCACTCCGATAGACAAAACTCTCACCATGCTACAAACACACATTTTAAAATTGTATCAAAACGGCCAAATTGAGGAAAAGGGCTTGATCCAGCTTGTTCTATCTGCAGAAAGCAAGAAACTTGTTGTAAAAAATGACCAACGCCATCAATTATCATAGAAATTTACCTGAAATTGTGAGCACAAGCTTGGTTCAGAATGGAAAATGATTACAACAATAATCACTGGACAATGATTACGAGTTATTGAAATGAACAAGAGGTGGTAATATGCAATACCACACAAAAAAAAAAAAAAAAAAAGGGGAAGATTTTTTTCCTGGACAAGATACCACTTATTAAAATGAACATGCGTACAAGAGATGGTAATATGCAATACCACACAAGAAAAAAAAATGTAAAACAATACTTTCACTGGACAATGATTACCAGTTATGGAATTGAACAAGAAGCGGTAATATGCAATACCACACAAAAAAAAACAACGGAAAAGATTTTTTTCCTGGACAATGATACCAGTTATAAAAATGAACAAGAGATGGTAATATGCAATACCATACAAGAAAAAAAAGGAAAACAATACTTTCACTGGACAATGATCATCAGTTACTGAATTGAACAAGAGGTGGTAATATGCAATGCCACACAAGATAACCAATGGAAAAGAATTTTTCAAAGGACAATGATTACCAGTTGTTGACATGAACAAGAGGTGGCAAAATGCAATGCCACACACAAACACACAAAAAAAATATATATATTTTTACCGATCGGCAATCCTGGGCCGACTCTGCTTTGTTCCAACCTCGGATGTGATTGGTGTAGGAATATCCATCAAATCAATACATTTTTCCGCTGGAACTGCCTTTTCACTCAATTGTTCTGCGCTTTAAGATGGCTGATAACAGTGATTTTTCTGAATCTTTGCAATATGCTAAAGAATGTACTCACATTGACTTTGATCTGAAGGACAAGCAGATCCATACATTGAAATCTTTATAAGACGGACAGGATACTTTGGCAGTTTTACCCACAGGCTTTGGTAAAAGCATAATTTTCCAGCTCCTTCCTTTCCTATTCCAGAAAAAATTGGTCGACAGTAACCAATGATTAGTTTTAATCATTAGGCCATTTAATTGGATTATGCACTTATGGAACTATCATACCTTTGACAACTGAAATGTACAGTGATGATGGACATTTGAGTCTACCACTGGAAAATAAGGATGATAAGCAAATTTCTATAGCTATATCCAAAGATCAAGTTTACAGACATCTGCTTTTGCTATATTTTTTAAATAAAGAAGGCCATTGAAAATAATATACCAGTATCTTGGAAAATATCACTGTTTGATTACACACCCACCCACACACACACACACACACACACACACACACACACACACACACACACACACACACACACACACACACACACACACACACACACACACACACACACACACACACACACACACACACCCAACAATACTTTCACAAAATTATACTACTTTCCAGTAAAATTGTTAAAAGTTATCTTAAAAAAGAAACATATAATGCGGATAAATACACTAAATGTTGAGCAATGTTGTCATGAATCATCTTCACATGTTAGGTTTTTGGCCTGCTTTTTATAAAACTTTTTCGGAAGTTTCTTTGTATATAGTCCATTTTCTATAAGATATTGTTTACTGTGATGTTTTGCTGCTCCACACTGGAGTTGAAAATCACACAATGCTTTGAGAGGTCTCACCAAAATCTGAAATTGATTTGACAAAAAAAAGAAAAAAAGGAAAATTAGCATTTTGCTTGAATAAATAAATTAATACAATGAAAATTCTCAAAACAAAGGCAGTGAAAATGTAACACTTTGTTAGTTTGCAGTCAGCAAATTCTATTGCCTTCTTCAGTATGCTGGCATAAATTTTTGAAGAATTGATATGCTAACTGTAATCAAAGCTAAAGGTCTACATGAGAGAGAGAGAGAGACAGCACCAAATACCTCTTTAATTTCTGGTCTTCCCTCTAATATGGAGATTGTCACGGCAGCAGTTTCTAGTGTTGAAAGGCTTCCATCTGTGGGCTGTGTTCGTATCACATATTCACTGACTCCAGTTTCACTAAGTTGAACCTGCAAAGGAAATATGCATAACTACTTAAATAATGTTGTTCAAGTTGTGAAATCTTATATCTGTAAAAAAAAATGAAAATATGCAACTGGAGTGGTCAAAACTGACTATCATGGGGGGGGGGGGGTGTCAATGTTAGGATTTTTTCATATATAAAAGAAAAAACTTTTCTTAAAAGAATTGCTTTTCTTTAATTCATATCTTATTACTAAAGCATCCAATTAATTGACAGGTGGGGAAAGTATGAACCAATAATGAAATAAATCCAAAGTCTACCTAATAAAGACACAAGGCACCAATGAAATACATACTTGTCTTAAATTTTGAAATATTTCATTGTGTCTATACATTCCTTTGGCCTGAGTCCATGTTCCGTCTATGAGAAGGAGATTGTATGCTACACTCCCATCTCTAGGTTCTATATCTTTAATATCTACAGCATTTGGTCCAGGGAAAAGTAGCAGAGTGTTTGGGCTGGAAATAACCTGTTCTAATTCTGGATACCTAAAAATAAAAGACAGTACGTACAAAGCCACAAACACTCATTTATCTAACAATACATGTTTTAGTTAAAAAAATAGTGATATCGATATTCATACCAATCTGCAAACTTGGGATTGCTTTTTTATACCATTTTATTGAAGTAATCCAGTTCTGAATGTTTCCCATAATAATAATTAAAACATAGTTTCTTCCAGTATATTTCAGAAGGTAATATTGACATCCAAGTACTTTCATTTGAGGGATTTTATCACTTTAGAAGGTCTGAACTGGGAAAGATAACAAGCTTTGCAGAATGTGCAGACATAGGGAAAAGACTGGACATTACAGTTTCAATCATGGATAGAAAACTTTTGATTTAAACAAAACAATTCCTTTAAAAGTAAACTTTCACTGTCCAATAAAAATATGGCAAATTGGGATTGTCATTTTAATATGTATTGGTGTTTTGAATTGACTAAAGATCCAGCTTACTTGTTTATTGGAAATTTTTTGCCAACATGTATGTGACACTTCTTAGGCCCAAGACCATAATAAAGCATTGGCGCAGTTTTCAGACTTCTGGCCTCCTGGAAAAATAAAAACATTGATACTTCATTGGTGAAAAATACCAAACTTTTTCATACATTCATTTAAAACAATTTAAAAATATATATATACATATATATTTTTAATTGCTATCATCACAATCTGTGTTCATTTTCTCAACTGTTAGATATTTCCTTTAAACTTAGAAAGAGCAATTATGTTATATCAATACACACACACACACACACACACACACACACACACACACACACACACACACACACACACACACACACTTACCTCAAATGGATGTTGGAATATATGGATGGCAGTTTTTACATTAAGAGGCTCTAATGGTAAATATGGGCACCAACATACAGTAATTGGACGGCTAAAAGGAAATGAGGTTTCATTATCACTACACTTGAACCATATATAATAATAACTTAAAACATAAAAGGTTAAAACTTTTTGACGTAATGTATGCAAACTCATAAAAACACAAAACAATTACAAATGTAAAAATTTACTCATGCTGGAAATTCTATCAACATAAAATTATGTGCATCTACTTTGCATTAGACATAGATCTGAACAAATTACAAATGACAGGAAATTAGACAGAACAAAACTATAATGCCAAATATTTGGGAGGATTTACAAATGATAATGTTCAAGTACAAAGTACAAAAATCCTAGCTTGCACTTATTACTTCAGGCTGTTTTGCTTACTAAACAAAGCATGAACACAAATACATCAGAAGTCTTTGGTGTGCTATTTGGCATGGGTGAAGAGAGTGCTCAGTTGACAGTGTTATTTTCCCTTTCAAGTTTCACATGAAGCTAACTGTCATGAAGTGGGAAAAATTATCTTTATTTACCAAAAAAGTGAAACAAGTTTTGAGTTATGTACTTATTGAATATGTGCATGATATTTTTGATGAAGATTTCTCAAAAACGTTTGTATACTGCAATTGCAAAGCATGAAAATCAAAGTCTTCAATGGGTGTAGGTTTTCACGGCGTGACGGCGGCATAACTAGTATCTTACCTCCTTCTGCTGAATTCAAGGCGAGTTGAGGAGTTAAGCGTTAAGATTAAGATTTGAGAGCTGGATGCAAATTAGTCGTCATTTTAAAGTTTTTGTGGGGCCTTTGCTTTCATGCGTGAGCACCATTATCAAAAACCGTATATAGAAGCGCTAACGCATGAATTTCGTGCTAGAAACAGAGTAAGACCGAGCTGGTAAAAAGCTGCTCCACGACGCACGAGACTTAAGACTTCTTCTGCCTTTGTTCACGTCAAAGAATCACTGGTGTTTGTGAACATAATACTGCTTACCAACACTTTTTGCATAAGTCCCTCTTTTTTAATGGTTCTTCTATTGCCTCAATAACATCTCCTAAATCTCTAAAGAGCTCGTTTTCACTATTTAGTGAATCGCATTCATTGTCGGCGTTTGTTTCACTGGGTGTATCCATAGCAAGTGCCCGGATGAAACATTTTATCAAGCACCCTAAAGTCGATCACATGTCATGAGGTACTTTAAATTTATTTATATAAAATTTACTTTATATATTTTTTTATATAAACATTTTTCTATTTGAATAATGTACCACTGTACATATCATTTTTATTTCTCAAACTTATTGTGCTGCCAAGTATATCACCAAGCAATTTTACGCGCGTATAAGTATTGTAAAATGGCTGCAGTGGGCGACTGTCGGTCGATAGCGAATAAAAAATCCTGCAGACGCTCTCATCAAGACTTATTTTAACCAGAATCATGAATCGGCACCAAGTGCTGACTGGTGCTGTCAATACTGGAGATCACTGCTACGCTGTAGGAAGTGTGGAAGGTATCAACTTCACGGTAAGTTTGCATCCATTTGCAGGATTTTAATCAGTTTCACTGTCTCCACATTCATTAACAATGTCTGTCGCAAAAAATGATTACCAAGTTTGTGGAGGTGTAAGTAAGTTTATGAGGTTTGAGTTTTCATGTTTGCTTATATGTTTAAAACCTATATTAAGGTAAAACGTGTGAATCCAAGAATGTAATGTTAATGAAGTTGTCTAAAAGAATACCACACTTCCTGTTGCATTTGTTTTTATTTTTTAAATTATTATTATTTCTTATCTAGTGGTATTGTTCACTGAGTATTCATGTACTGAGTATTGAAAAGAAAAGGCACGGTGAATATAATGAGTCAGGGGCATGTTTTTGTATCCTGGATTAATAAGCTGCAGAATTATTCGCCTTTGTTAAGTCATTGTCAAGCAAGTGAAATGGACCACATCTCATGTTTAAAGAAAATATATGAATAGGTTAAGTTTGGAGGTTGTCAAATAACACTTGCTAAACAAAAATGTCACTAGCATTGGCTGGTGTATGGATACTTAATATGTAACTCACGGAAATATTATTGATCAAAGTTCAGATTTAATTAATTACCACTTGTTTAAAGTGTTCTTTTCACACATTGTATAGCTTGCAAGTTGCAGAATATTGAACAGAGTTGATATCATTGCTCATTTTATAAGAAAAACCACTTGAATAACATAATCAAAAACCTTGGAATCAAAGACAAATTACTCTTTGAAGGTCAGTATATCTTGAATTGGTTTATTTGAAGATGTTTCCATTAAGCAGTCAATACTTAATCTGTAAACCAATATCTCTCTCTTTCCAGGCATATGCTGCAGGGTGTGACATTGTCATTTTAGCTAGTGATTTTCAGCGAGTTCAGATAATCCCTGGTGCCACTCATGGTAACATTCAAGTCAGCTGCATAGACTGTTCTATAGACACAGGAAAGGTGAGATATTTGGTGACTTTGCAGTATACACAGATAAATACAAATGATGTGATCCATTTTGTGTTACCCTCTACCAGGGCAGCAGATATTATAGGCACATTTTCCACCAGCCACAGTTAGAAGATTGGCCATATTTAGCCAGAGACATAATCTGTGAATATCTAGTGAAAAATCAATCTGTGACCCTGGTAGACGGTAAGTTTGTGTCTGGACAAGTGAGATACACTGACTGGTGATTTAACAAAATAAATAGCAGTACACTTATGATAGTTTGATCTTATATTAAATGGGTTTTATATAAAAAAGATAAAATGATAGTTAATTCTGCTTTTATTGTTTATTTTATATTGATCAGGAGTTTTTTTTTTTTTTTACATTTGTGTAAAGGCATTGGTAACATATTGGAGGGCAAGGATACCTTAAAATTGAAATTTGTTCGTGAAATATGTTATCAGTGTGAAATATTTATGTGATGCAATGATAATTTATCACAAAACTCTTGTTTCTTTGATGTAGATAATTTAAATATGATTTAAAAGCTCTTTTGGCAATACTGTCATGTAACAATTATGAGTTTTACTGTGGCAGTTTTTTTTTCTGTTCATGGATCAGAGTTGTGAAAATGGAATTAACACATGATCTCATCTGACTTAACTGGAAATATTGAACTTTCTAATTATGTTTGGTGAAAGAAAACATTTAAACCTCTAACTGGTGGTTGATATATCTAGTTAAAAAATTATTGCTGTTGGCAGTTAACATTTTATAGACATTTATTATAATTGATATAGGTCCATTGAATATAGTCAAAAAGAAAATTTAAACTGTACTTCAGCCTGTACAGTACAAAGTTAGGAATGTGAAAAGCCCAGAAGTGCAGTTCAACACTGTGAAGACTTGTCGAATACACTTCAGTAATGCAGCATTGTCTAGCTTTGATGTTCATTTGAACTAATCACATTCTTTTGGCCTCTGCTTTACTGTAGCCTATTGCTAACTCAATGCAACAGACAATGTGATAATGGGATCATCTTAACCTTAGGTCTGACTATTGATCAAAATAAATGGTCAGGAGGCAACACTTATTGGAGAAATGACCAAAATAATACAGACTTCATCCTGGCTTTAAATTGGCTAAATACTGCAGACGTTTTTAATCCATTATTTCATTTAATCACTTAATTTCCTCAATCCATCACAAAGGCATTTTGAATTGAACGAACACGGCAGTTTCATCATAAATGAAAATAGCTGTGCAGGAAGCAAAAGGGAAGCAGTCTGTTGTATTTGCCTTTATCAATCAATATTTTCTCTTTGCACCATCTGTTTTGGTAAGGTAGAAGTTAGCGCATTTTGTTGCACTTTTGATAAAGAAACTAAGCATATCTGAGTGTTCATTGTGTGGATCTTCAAAATTAAGCTTCCTAAAAGATCTTATTACAGTAGATTTATTTTAATTTCACTATTGTAAGAGTTTACATAGTAGTTATAAGCTTGTCTCTCTATAGTTGCAATGTAATTTTTTCCAAAAAAAAAAGCTTGGTGGTAGACAAATCAGAATTCTTATAAATACAAATTGACTTTTTTTTTTTTTTNGACTTCTGCCTTTGTTCACGTCAAAGAATCACTGGTGTTTGTGAACATAATACTACTTACCAACACTTTTTGCATAAGTCCCTCTTTTTTAATGGTTCTTCTATCGCCTCAATAACATCTCCTAAATCTCTAAAGAGCTCGTTTTCACTATTTAGTGAATCGCATTCATTGTCGGCGTTTGTTTCACTGGGTGTATCCATAGCAAGTGCCCGGATGAAACATTTTATCAAGCACCCTAAAGTCGATCACATGTCATGAGGTACTTTAAATTTATTTATATAAAATTTACTTTATATAATTTTTTATATAAACATTTTTCTATTTGAATAATGTACCACTGTACATATCATTTTTATTTCTCAAACTTATTGTGCTGCAAAGTATATCATCAAGCAATTTTACGCGCGTATAAGTATTGTAAAATGGCTGCAGTGGGCGACTGTCGGTCGATAGCGAATAAAAAATCCTGCAGACGCTCTCATCAAGACTTATTTTAACCAGAATTATGAATCGGCACCAAGTGCTGACTGGTGCTGTCAATACTGGAGATCACTGCTACGCTGTAGGAAGTGTGGAAGGTATCAACTTCACGGTAAGTTTGCATCCATTTGCAGGATTTTAATCAGTTTCACTGTCTCCACATTCATTAACAATGTCTGTCGCAAAAAATGATTACCAAGTTTGTGGAGGTGTAAGTAAGTTTATGAGGTTTGAGTTTTCATGTTTGCTTATATGTTTAAAACCTATATTAAGGTAAAACGTGTGAATCCAAGAATGTAATGTTAATGAAGTTGTCTAAAAGAATACCACACTTCCTGTTGCATTTGTTTTTATTTTTTAAATTATTGTTATTTCTTATCTAGTGGTATTGTTCACTGAGTATTCATGTACTGAGTATTGAAAAGAAAAGGCACGGTGAATATAATGAGTCAGGGGCATGTTTTTGTATCCTGGATTAATAAGCTGCAGAATTATTCGCCTTTGTTAAGTCATTGTCAAGCAAGTGAAATGGACCACATCTCATGTTTAAAGAAAATACATGAATAGGTTAAGTTTGGAGGTTGTCAAATAACACTTGCTAAACAAAAATGTGACTAGCATTGGCTGGTGTATGGATACTTAATAACTCACGGAAATATTATTGATCAAAGTTCAGATTTAATTAATTACCACTTGTTTAAAGTGTTCTTTTCACACATTGTATAGCTTGCAAGTTGCAGAATATTGAACAGAGTTGATATCATTGCTCATTTTATAAGAAAAACCACTTGAATAACATGATCAAAAACCTTGGAATCAAAAACAAATTACTCTTTGAAGGTCAATATATCTTGAATTGGTTTATTTGAAGATGTTTCCATTAAGCAGTCAATACTTAAAGGGATAATAACTCTTCGTATGAGATCTATATTTCACAATAAAAACATTGTGAACAACTCGTGGAAATATAATATATTCAGTTGTACAAGAAAAACGGCAGTTATAGCTATTATTCTGATATCTTAGCTTGTGTTCAGACCACGTGACCTCTATTGATGGCTATACTCTGTTATAATCTCTTAAGAGATTTTAACAAAAAACCAAACTTTTTAGAAAAAAACCAGGGACTAACTTTGAATGTAAAAATGGATTCATTAACCATTGGTAAGTATGGGAAAATTGTTGTTTACTCCAGGAAAATTCATTTTTTGGTCAAAACGAAGAGTTATTATACCTTTAATCTGTAAACCAATATCTCTCTCTTTCCAGGCATATGCTGCAGGGTGTGACATTGTCATTTTAGCTAGTGATTTTCAGCGAGTTCAGATAATCCCTGGTGCCACTCATGGTAACATTCAAGTCAGCTGCATAGACTGTTCTATAGACACAGGAAAGGTGAGATATTTGGTGACTTTGCAGTATACACAGATAAATACAAATAATGTGATCCATTTTGTGTTACCCTCTACCAGGGCGGCAGATATTACAGGCACATTTTCTACCAGCCTTTAGAAGATTTGACCATATTTAACCAGAGACATAATCTGTGAATAGTGAAAAATCAATCTGTGGCCCTGGTAGATGGTAAGTTTGTGTCTGGACAAGTGAGACACACTGACTGGTGATTTAACAAAATAAATAGCAGTACACTTCTGATAGTTTGATCTTATATTAAATGGGTTTTATATAAAAAAGATAAAATGATAGTTAATTCTGCTTTTATTGTTTATTTTTTATTGATCAGGAGTTTTTTTTTTTTTTTTTTTTTTACATTTGTGTAAAGGCATTGGTAACATATTGGAGGGCAAGGATACCTTAAAATTGAAATTTGTTCGTGAAATATGTTATCAGTGTGAAATATTTATGTGATGCAATGATAATTTATCACAAAACTCTTGTTTCTTTGATGTAGATAATTTAAATATGATTTAAAGGCTCTTTTGGCAATACTGTCTTGTAACAATTATGAGTTTTACTGTGGCAGTTTTTTTTCCTGTTCATGGATCAGAGTTGTGAAAATGGAATTAACACATGATCTCATCTGACTTAACTGGAAATATTGAACTTTCTAATTATGTTTGGTGAAAGAAAACATTTAAATCTCTAACTGGTGGTTGATATATCTAGTTAAAAAATTATTGCTGTTGGCAGTTAACATTTTATAGACATTTATTATAATTGATATAGGTCCATTGAATATAGTCAAAAAGAAAAATTAAACTGTACTTCAGCCAGTACAGTACAAAGTTAGGAATGTGAAAAGCCCAGAAGTGCAGTTCAACACTGTGAAGACTTGTCGAATACACTTCAGTAATGCAGCATTGTCTAGCTTTGATGTTTATTTGAACTAATCACATTCTTTTGGCCTCTGCTTTACTGTAGCCTATTGCTAACTCAATGCAACAGACAATGTGATAATGGGATCATCTTAACCTTAGGTCTGACTATTGATCAAAATAAATGGTCAGGAGGCAACACTTATTGGAGAAATGACCACAATAATACAGACTTCATCCTGGCTTTAAATTGGCTAAATACTGCAGACGTTTTTAATCCATTATTTCATTTAATCACTTAATTTCCTCAATCCATCACAAAGGCATTTTGAATTGAACGAACACGGCAGTTTCATCATAAATGAAAATAGCTGTGCAGGAAGCAAAAGGGAAGCAGTCTGTTGTATTTGCCTTTATCAATCAATATTTTCTCTTTGCACCATCTGTTTTGGTAAGGTAGAAGTTAGCGCATTTTGTTGCACTTTTGATAAAGAAACTAAGCATATCTGAGTGTTCATTGTGTGGATCTTCAAAATTAAGCTTCCTAAAAGATCTTATTACAGTAAATTTATTTTAATTTCACTATTGTAAGAGTTTACATGGTAGTTATAAGCTTGTCTCTCTATAGTTGCAATGTAATTTTTTCCAAAAAAAAGCTTGGTGGTAGACAAATCAGAATTCTTATAAATACAAATTGACTTTTTTTTTTTNGCAGTTTTTATTACTCATTATAGTTGCTGAATATCAGAAACTATTCTGTGGCTATGCTGAACTTTTATCTGATAACAGAAACACGTAATAATAATAATGATATTAATGTGCACCAGAATATACATTTATGCTATCAATTGTTAACAAGAAAGTGTAATATCCTGTTTATTTAGAGCACCCCAAGTTTCAGATTGTTTTCAGTGAATCTCTCCTTATAGCATATGTATAATTGATTAGAGATCTTTTATTAGTGTTTTGAGGGTGTGATTTAGTATTAATGAAGTAGATGAGGTTGTTTAGAAGAAGGTGACAAATATCATTCTCTAGGATGAAGTATGAAATTGTGTCTATGATTTATTTATCAGCTTAAATGCATGATATTTTATCCTTATCATCAGGTTGACAGATTATATATGTACAATATGTTTTTATTGTTTATCTATTTTGTGGGTTCATAGTGCAAGTCACAAAACAGTCATGTGCCCTTGCCTGAATAATTTAGTTTATAATCCCCCCCCCCTACTTTCTGTTATCCAGTCCACTCACTCACAGATGGTGATTGCAGTAGCTTGGTTTAAACTTAGTGAGAATAGGAATTAAAAGTTCAGGTTTTGAAATATTTCATTTTTCACCTCATATTTCTATTTCATAAAGGTTAAACATCAGGCATTATCATGTAGGGAATAGATAGCAGAGAGAAAAGCTGAAGTGAAAGAATCACTATTTTGTTTATGTTCATCTGTTACTGATCAGAAGGAAAACAAATACCATATGTTGACCAGTTACATGTATTACACAAAAGAAAATAACGAAAAATCCAACATAATTTCATGACTACAAAGTTTTGTTTGATTAAGTAGTTATTTGCATATGCAAACTCATACTATTTGGCAGTTCAAAATAATTTTTCCAAAGTTATTTCTTGGAAATGATACCAAAGATCCTTCATTCCGTAACTATAATTGCTTTTTGGTGTTTTGTTTCAGTGTACACCACATTGCATTGTTTCATCTTCCTTTTGCGGCTTAGATTGATCCAAAATCAATAATGAAAAAGAATCTGCCTTGACTGTGTGTATGGTCATTGGTGGGGTTAGAGTAAAACCCATAGTTTGATGTGTGTGTAATGCACTGTTGAATTTATGACAAGAATGATTTTTTGTGTTAATGCAAAATGACATTATATTTGGGAATTGTGAACCATATGCTCACCTATGAGGAAGTGTAGAACAAAAACAAATGACAAGAATTAGTTAAATATCAATAGGGTTGTACCAGTATGGATTATTTTATCTACCTCAATTTTTCATGTGAATTCTACCCATGCATAATACTTAAAACACTTATCATACATGAGTAGAACATCTATCCTGAATATGAATAATTGCTGTTTTCCAGGACCTATATAGGCTTATTCAGGTAGTATGGAGAAAAATACCAAGTTGTACATGCTGTTGGACTCTATACCTTTTTATTTTCTTTTCCCATCATGATTATTCACTCGGTGCCTGCAGCCACACCAATCAGCCAGCACAAGAGAACTATTATTGATTGAGACCCTTAAGTAGATGACTCCATTTCCAGACCTTTTTTCCTCTTGTTTGATCATGAAAAAACATTTTAAAAGAGTGCTATCCATCTAGGTCCAGGGAATAGCACAAGAGTGTTTGCAAAAGTCATTTTTCATTTGTTATTGCTGGTTTTTGGTAATTGAGCTTTACTGATTGGAAATAAGGACTTTTCAATTTCTTTTGAATGAGAATGTAAGACATCATTACAAGATAATCACCTTTCTTAATTGTATTGAAAATTTATCCTTTTCCAATAAGTTTCTGCTACCTACTCTCCCTCTCCCCTCTCTAACTTGCTGTATTCCTTTTGTATTGAATCATTGTTGATTTTATGAATGTGTGAACTCTGTAACACTGTTTTTTCACACAAATAACAATACTGTTTATTTCAATATTCACTGCACAATGTTTATTTTACAGTAATCTACCTCTAAGTATGACTTACTGATCAAGAAAGAATGAGAAGTGAATGTTTAAATGTAATTTAACCTGTGCTTGTCATGTGATTGGAAAAACCCTTCCACTGTTCAAGAGTTATATAATTATTTTTGTGATCCTATACATTTTCTCATATATGTATAGTTCTTTCTTTAGAAGTCAAAACTTAAAAATAAATCGCCTAAGAAAATAAGAAAAAGAAGAACGTATTATTACTCTATAAATAACAGAAACAATCCAGCTTTTGTATTCATGACTGATTTTTTCCTCAAGTTCAGTGCCCATAGACACATAAATTTCCTTGTCACCCATAAATAGTTTTAATATATGAGAAAGCCAAAAAAAAAAACTTTACTGGGTGAACTGCTTGAATAGTATAATATATAATCTTAGTTTTGCACTTATCAGTCATATTTGTCTTTTAAAAAAACAGTGCCTTATTAATCCCTAACCAAACCCATCGTTCAATATCTAAGAGGAAGAACATAAAGTAGTCTTAAAACCATAGATGCTAAGATAACTCTCTGTATTGTTCATTTTAGGGTTTAGACTACCAGTGGTACCAGACAGGCACATTTGAAGCAGACTCCTATATTACATGTCTCTCATGGAACCTAGAAGGTAGGAAATTAAACTAGTGCTCGTTTACACTGGTAAACAGTGTTATCTTCTAATTTCAAACCTGGTGTGCATCAAAATTCTGATTGTTTTATCTTTTTCAATAGATTTTCTATTTTGTTCCAAATAAAATTCCTACACCACAAGTTTTTTCAGTCCACATTTTCTTTATTTGTCTATGCTGAATTGGTTTGAATGCAGTGTGCACTACATATGTACCACTTTTGGAGTGTAAACATGTCACTGGCCAGACATGGTAGCAATACTGTTCATATATTGACCATGGTATATAATCTGACAACATATAATGCCATATGATGCAGAACCTAACCAAAAATGACAAATGGCCACATAATCAAGCAATATGAATGGGTTGCCAGTGAGAGAAGGATCAAAAGTGCAGTTTGTATGTGTGACTCTGTGTGTGTGTTGGGGGGAGGGGGGGTATGATTTTTTGGATTGAAAGATATGTAAATTGGACCTTTAGGTCATCATGTGAAAAGCACACTTCCTACATTTATCTGTATGTGGGTGTGTTTGTACTATATCGCAATTTGTGAGATGGGGAGAGAGAGAAGTTGTGTGAAGCTTCAGGTCATCATGTGAATCTGATTGTTTAGGTGTCACTGGTAATGTGTCTTAGTATATATGTGTGCTGTGGACATGAGTTTTGACCCTGAGGTGTGCCTTAGTTCACATTCACACAATGCATAAGTAAAGTTGGTGCAAAACTGGTTTTGAGATGATGTTATACATGTATTGCTCAAATTATGTTATGCTGTGCCTGTAGGTATACTAATCAGCTACCTTCAGCTGATTGTTTATTGGTTTGCTGTGCAACCATTCTTACTGAAAGCAATTGTTATAACCTTGATCATATCCACATGAATTCAGGTTAAACTCCAAACTAGCCAATCTAAGATTCTGCCTGTGTAACGGTGCCACTATAGAGATATTTATGTTATCCATGCCTTGGGAAAGACTGGTACTTACAGGAGTTGCCTTAAGAAAGATCTTGTGATCAATACATGATGCTGTCACCACTCACTTATGTGCTAGGTTCAGGCTGTATTTCTTGTCATGTTGTGGCAGCTTAACTTAGAATAGAGTATCTCAGTAGACAGTCATGATAAGTTGCTACAATATCTGTCCAGAAGGCCAATTGCAATGTAATCACAATGGCAAATGCATTGGCTGTGGATGGAACAGAAGAGTTATATTAGACTGCCTCATGTTTGAAAACCATATTCACCTAGTTTGCAGAGATAATTGGCACTGTGTAATGCCATGGCAGCTTGGTGGGAAATGCACTTTACCTATCATCCCTGCCTATGGGAAATGTATACCCCATATTATGAGGTGTTTTCAAAGAACACTACATGATGCTAAGTAACACTGTACTGATAGGATAGGTTAAGCTTTACACCACATCTGTCAAATGTGATGGTGTGATGGTTTATTACAGTGCTTACATTTATTATTTCCTTCAAAATAAGTGTAATAATAAAGGTCTTAATCTTGTATTAACCTGAGAGAGAGACCAATTTACCGCAGTTTCATTTTCAGTGAGTGGGACAGCAAAGTCTTAACCACACCTTCTGGGTAGATAATACAAGGTTTGTTCAACTTGACTGGAAATACCACCTAAGATTTGCATGATTTAGGACACTTGAGACTGGCTCTATCAGTTTAATACTCTAAGATCAGATCCAGCATGAAAAGCTAATTAAACAGCCATTACTCTGCAAGTCTTGAGTTTTTTTTTTTTTTTAGCTCAATTTTATAACTTCGTGGACATCTGTAGGGTATTTCTTGAATCAATTTACTAATCATTTTTATCTTTATTGGATAGAAGAAGAATCAGTAAATAAAAAAAAAGAAAGAAAAACATGAAAATAATGAAATGAGGAGCTAAGTTCAGTTTATTCTGGTGCTGTTACTTATACCTCATTTTGTTTTCAGAATAATATAGATGATTTTCAAATGAAAAGTTCTGTTTGTATCCAGGTAATCGGGTCTATGCCATGCAATTTCTCCATCACTTGCTTCATTATAGATTTACAGGTACAAACATTCCTTGCAAATTTGCTTGATCAGCTTCTCAGCAGGTTGTATGTTTGTAACCTAGGTTCAAGAGCCTTTTTCTGCAAAAGATATGGGAATACCATATCTATTATATTATCCAACCATGTTGTGAAACCAAATCCTCACAGATAATTGCTATGTTACCATATTCTTTAATGCAGTAAAGACTCTCTTGCCAATATAACCTTACCAAGAAAGTAGATTACTTACTTGCCTCCTTGAAAAAAGTCTGGATTTCTTCCTGTCTGGTCACTGCATCTATTTCTCTTTACCTCTCAAAAGACAGCTGATCTGATAAATACAGTCCGCAATTCTCAGAAATGTTAATTTGCTTCTTTTTAATGTAATTTTAAGGATACCCAAAATTGAATAAGAGCTTATGGTTGCTATTGTTGCATTCACTGGGTTGAAGGGAATATAAGAAAGTTGAACTCCCAAACCGAAAGTACATTGAGTAGAGAGATGATTATGACATTTTGTCTGTTATACACACAGTATGCTTAAAATGATATGTGCATGAAGTATAACTACATATCTAGGCTTTTTAGGTTGCAAATATTGCCTTAAAATGTAGCACAGGTGCTGAGCTTTTTTATGCCCTGACTTAAATGATGTTTGGTGAACATCGTGAAACTGTACTCCATCATGGACAAACCATGGAGAAGTCATATGAATATTGATTTATACTATCATTAACTATTTTAGTTAAACTGATTTGCATTCTTTCTATATAAGATATCATTAAGAAATATTTCCCAAAGTAATTACATTGAATCTACCAAATTGAATTCTTTTCTGCTGCCCATCTTAAAGGTTCCATTTGTGAACTCATCTTAAACCATTGTGTCTTTGGTTAAAATCATACTTGATGTCTTCTTTTATGCATAGTGGGGTTTTACAACATGTCAAATTGATGATTGCCATTTGTGTTCTCACAGGAGTCATGGGCATGATATAGGAAGAATTCCAGTAACACTTCAAGTGCTCCTTTCTTTGTTTACTAAGTTCATTGGGACTTACAGTCACTGCAAATTGCAATTATGATAACTAGATATTAAAGGGATAATAACTCTTCGTATGAGATCTATATTTCACAATAAAAACATTGTGAACAACTCATAAAAATATAATATTTTCTGTTGTACCACAAAAACAGCAGTTACAGCTATTATTCTGATATCAGAGCTTGTCTTTAGACCACGTGACCTCCATTGATGGCTATGCTCTGTTATAATCTCTAAAGAGATTTTAACAAAAAACCAAACTTTTTAGAAAAAAAACAGGGACTAACTTCGAATGTAAAAATGGATTCATTAAACATTGGTAAGTACGGGAAAATTGTTGTGTACTCCAGGAAAATTCATTTTTTGGCCAAAACGAAGAGTTATTATACCTTTAAATGCCTCATTTTTATGTTAAAACTTGATTCTCTCTATCTCTCTTTCTCAAAAATAAGTCCATATGGAAGATTATTAATGTTCACAAAAGTACATCTCAGACTGAGAATCATTAATTTTATAAATGCTCATGGCAGTCATCCCTGTCAGCATCAGTAAATGACCCAAACACACTTGATAAGGATGACATTTGAAGGTTATTTCCTTCTACATAGTGCAGTGTATCATATAGTTTACCACTCACGAAAAGAAAATGTGAAGACAGGCACATAATTTCTAGCATATTACATAGGGCGTCATCAGGTGAAAGCTACTTTATGGGCTTCTCTAATGCAGAGCATACATATTGAGCTTGCTTTGAAAATGTTTCCCAATTTAATTCAAGACTTGTATATGAGACATCTTTAGTTTTTTTTTCCAAATTAATAATAAAAACTGAAAGAGAAATTGTTTGATTGAAAAACAATCCATTCAGTGGCTATCTGTAATTGTTCAACCTTATGCCATATCACAAATTACTGCCAACTTAGTATTCATGGATGTATGCTACTGCATAGAAATATACTCCCAAATTAGTACAGTTTAAGGTCACTGGAAAAGTAAAGTTAAGATACTGTTGTGAAATATAAATATTAGATGGACGAAATTGTGTTGAGGCATTAGTACATTTTAGTAATATGTTTGCAATGTTGTGTTTCGCAGACAAACGGTACTCCATCATGATCAGTACAAACAGTACTCAACATTCCTTGCCTCACAAGACATTGGGCCATGGGTTTAGCTAATGGTGATGTGTAATGTTTGCTGTAGTTTTCTTTGCCAATACTGCCCTACTAATATAGGTTGCTTGCTATCTCTCTCTCTCTCTCTCTCTCTCTCTCTCTCTCTCTCTCTCGTTGTTTGCAAATAAGAGGCAAATTCAGAAAATTATTAAAATGTGTACTCCTACAAGTGGTTAATGTGAGTAATAACCTTTGTCAGGACAGTTTGTCATGAGTAATATTACAATGCTACTTGTTTATTAGATTCATGCCTTAGGGAAAAACCAATGATCATACTAACAAGACAGTAGGTTCATTTGTGTTCAAAACATGCTTAGCAGGTTCTAGGATGTATATTACAATGCCTTTTCATTTTTCACAATGCAATTGTTTTTCCTTGTTAGAAAAATATTGCAAGCTTGTGTCACTCCTTGACAACAGGTGGTGATGTTATTACTTGGTATGTGTGAAGTATGTATTGAAACAAAAAAGCAAAAGAAAGGGTTTTTCTGTGAGCGTTGCAGCCTGGTTAATCTCCCTAGAGGTTACTATGGCAATGAAAGACTAGTCACTACTACAGAGTTTCAGTTAATATCAGCAAGACAGGAAGAACTGATTTCTCAATTAAGACAATCTTGATAGAAGATGCTTGACTTTATTGTTGCATTATGACGTGTTTACCAATTTAGTGCCTGCTTATTGAACCACCATCTCCATTTATATGTGTTATCACAATCTCTTGGGCAATGAAATGGTGTTGGAATGAGAAATGAATCAATAAAAAAATACTAAAAATAAAGCTTGGTATTCATGTCTCCTTCAGTATCTAATTTTTATGTCAGCATTTTCTCTTTTGTCTACCTGATAATGAATATATTACACACATAAAACCCTTTCAAAAGAATATTATCTAAATTTGTCATTTGTTTTCAAGGCACACGTCTCCTGACTGGTGGGGAGCATATTCAGATGTGGCGTTGCCCTGACGATCATCATGAAGATGACTCCCATCATGGTGGTGGCGGAGGAGGAGGAGGAGGAGGCAGTTTCAGCATTGGTGGAGATGATGGTGGCAACGATGTGTTTGGAGTATCATTTCATGTTGGAGATGTGGATGAGCCTGAATGGCATTGTATATGGGAATGTAAAACTGCCACCCCTGTTTTTCACCTGCAGTTTTCTCCAGATGGACTGCTGTTTGCATCGGCTGGGAAGGTGAGAGGGTGCATGTGCTGACCAAATTCTTGCCTGTTTTGAGTAAATCATCTCAAAATTTAATAAGATTTTCTTTTATGAAAGGTTGTTATTCATCTGTTGTTTAAACAAAAGTAAAAACCAAGTTAAATTAGTACAAAGTATTTAGGCAGAGATATTTATTGGAGAAGATAGTGATTTATTAGGAAGATGAACACAAATTGACAGTGTTTAGTAATAAGATTCTGTTATTATAGGCCGACAGACTTGTCAAAATATGGTATGAAGATAAGAAAGGTGAGTGAAAAAAAGCAAACACCATTCCTCCATGATTATAGAAAAACCATCTTGGAAAAATGTAGTAGTACAACAGAGTGAATGTTTAAGTTTTTTTAAAAGTTTATTTGACCAATCTGACTATGGTGGCTGAACATTTACCATAAATTTAATCTAAAAGTGGTGTCCATTTCCCAGAGAAGCATGCCAGCTTGTTTGTTACTAACAAAAAATTAATCATTGTTGAAGTTGTCGTGGAATTGATATAGATAAAATATTATGATGTACATTGTTAGGAACGATATTTTTCTGTTCATGTACTTGGCTCTTGTACATAAAATGTCTCTCCTTAAGTGCTTCATTGGCCTTTGACCTTACTAGTTAAGGATAAGGCCACCATAGTGTATCAATATGTAACATAGCACATTGCAGTTACAAGGCAAGGAAAACACATTTAAACCAAGAGATTATTTGGCAAAATTACTATTATTCTCTTTATGGTTTTGTTAAACAGTACCTTATTAACCACCAGAAATAATACCAAAATGTGCTTGTTTATTGGAACATCTTGGTATTGAAAGGATGGGGGGTAATACATAGAGTTCAGTTAGTAAAGCCCTATTTACAGTGCACAGCATGCTTTCTATGTCCCCATCTGAGAGTTAAAAAAAAATACTTTAAGTGCCAACAACTGTCCAATCATTGAGCATTCATTCTGCAACCAATTAAAGCAATGCTTGTGCCTCCTTTCTACAACCACAGCGATGCCAGTTTCATGGTCACAAAAAGGCTGCTGTCCAGTGTAAAGGGGGTTTAAGCAAAGACATGAGCAAGTACATTAGGTCTTTTGGGGTCACTGCACACACACATACCACTAACCGCTGTATGTGACATTATGTGATTTATGTTACTGTTGGGTAGAAAGAGAAGCTGAAGATAATGACTTGTTTTTCTCACCATCTTATCCAGACCATGTATACACATTTGACTGACATGTGTATTGATTACATGGATCATTAAACTGATACTCACGACTTACTTATATTGATATTTACATCTATGAAAGTGGACTAGATATAATATTAATTTTGTTGTCTGAGCTGACTAAAATGAATATGAGTGAAGGATTATGTCTTGGGGGTAGCAGTGATCTAGATAAATTATAAGATGCATCCAGAACATTGCTGGTACTGCATCTCTCAGCTGTCAACTTTGACTCAAAAATGACTGAAGATCTATCACTTAAAATAGACTAACCATGCCCATGTTACCAACCAATTTACCTAATGGATAGAATAACTGCAGCCTGGAAATCAAATTATGAAAAAGAGTGTGTCAAAATAAATCATTCTCTGTTACAGTTACAGTACCTGGTTATGGTGTTCATAAAGTTTGCGCTATTAGGCTATTCTAATCTCTAGTCATTACTTAAGGGACTGGTAGCCCAGTCCAGTTCATCAATAATGAGATTTTTTCTGACTATCAGTAGATTTCTGAATTTTTGGGAGCCAACAGTATCATTTTTAAGATTGATGCAAGCAGCCCCCTTGACCCCGCACCATATTTTCAGACTTTTTCACTAAATGGCAGTCTCATCCCTGTTTATACAAATAATAAAAATATGACCTGAGACCATTCCGTTACACAAGTGTGGTGTGGATTTTATGTATCTATAATGGTGGTTATATGGGGTACATGTCATAGCAATCGGACACACTCCTTCATCTGAAGAATTTTACCTGTGGGCTAAAGACACGGATAATTAATTCTCTCCCAGAAGAATAGGTCAAGAGAAGGGGGCATAAATCATGCTCTGTTATTTCTGAATGAGATGTCTTTACAGATAATTTAGCAGAGATGTGTCAGATGTGGATGAAAAGGGTTTCTTGTGATAAGAAAGGTGTCAAAATTACTGAATCCTTGCTCATATTTCATTTGTAGAATGAATATCAGAAAGAAGATAAGCTATAATCTTAAAGAGATTAGCTGTTATCTTAGAGAAATGTTTATTTATTTATTTATTTATTTATTTATTTATTATTATTATTTTATTATGTACAGACACAGATGTGTCTGTACATATTGCCATCACCTGCGTCTGTCGTCGCCGATGCCGATGCCGATGCCGATGCCGTCGCCGTGCACTTTCCTTGTAAACACGATAAGTGGAAGGCAGTTTTACTTTTTGGCTTTATATTTACAGAGCTGATGAATATTCATAAAACGCAGGTCAAGTTTGAAAATCAGCATGATCGGGCCATTATTGTAGAAGTCATGCTGTTTTTTTCACTTTTCAGCTTTTATGCAACCTTGTAAACACATTTTAAGGAAAACCGTTAGGCCTATTGTCATGAAACTCACAGGAATGGTCAGTCTTACTAAAACGCAGGTTGAGTTCGAAAATCNGTGAGTGAAGGATTATGTCTTGGGTGTAGCAGTGATCTAGATAAATTATAAGATGCATCTAGAACATTGCTGGTACTGCATCTCTCAGCTGTCAACTTTGACTCAAAAATGACTGAAGATCTATTACTTAAAATAGACTAACCATGCCCATGTTACCAACCAATTTACCTAATGGATAGAATAACTGCAGCCTGGAAATCAAATTATGAAAAAGAGAGTGTCAAAATAAATCATTCTCTGTTACAGTTACAGTACCTGGTTATGGTGTTTATAAAGTTTGCGCTATTAGGCTATTCTAATCTCTAGTCATTACTTAAGGGACTGGTAGCCCAGTCCAGTTCATCAATAATGAGATTTTTTCTGACTATCAGTAGATCTCTGAATTTTCGGGAGCCAACAGTATCATTTTAAAATTGATACAGGCGGCCCCTTTGACCCCACACCATATTTTCAGACTTTTTCACTAAATGGCAGTCTCATCCCTGTTCATACAAACAATAAAAATATGACCTGAGACCATTCCGTTACACAAGTGTGGTGTGGATTTTATGTATCTATAATGGTGGTACATATCATAGCAATCGGACACACTCCTTCATCTGAAGAATTTTACCTGTGGGCTAAAGACACGGATAATTAATTCTCTCCCAGAAGAATAGGTCAAGAGAAGGGGGCATAAATCATGCTCTATTATTTCTGAATGAGATGTCTTTACAGATAATTTAGCAGAGATGTGTCAGATGTGGATGAAAAGGGTTTCTTGTGATAAGAAAGATGTCAAAATTACTGAATCCTTGCTCATATTTCATTTGTAGAATGAATATCAGAAAGAAGATAAGCTATAATCTTAAAGAGATTAGCTGTTATCTTAGAGAAATGTTTATTTATTTGTTTATTTTTTTATTTATTTTTTATTTATTTATTTTTTTTTTTTTTTGATAGATAAGCATGGTAATCAAAAACATTTATTAATGATATTCATATTGAATTAAACACATTTTGTTTATGCCAATGAAAATTAAAAAATTAAATTTTTAAAATAGACAGTCAGTGAATGTAAAAAAGGCATTGAGAAATGATGGGTAGATCATATTCTCATTCAAAATGGCATTGCTTGCCATATCACGCCATTCCATGGATGACTCTCATTGGGTTTCACAGATGAAATAACAGTTTTTTTTTTTTTTTTTTTTTTGAAAAAAAAAAATATAACAGTGTATTGACAGCTTCTACATTAGAAAAGGTTGAAGATGTAATTTGTTATCTTCAATATTGATAAAAAAAGTACATTTTAGACCTACTTTTATTGCTTAGCTGCCAGTCCTACCACTAAAAGTTGACACCATCTTTGAATTTATAGTAAGCTAACTTGAGTGCAACTTCTTAACAGTAAGCATATATATGATGATGATAGGTACTCAGGGAATAAAGTCACATGCGTGAAATATGACATAACATGCAAACTATGAATTACTGCTTAGTTAGATAACTCCCTTGATGATAATGGCACATTTTTTCATGGTGAATTATCCTCGTGGTAAATAGTGCTATTAATTTTGTTGTATTCACATACCAAACATTGTGGAACATACCATCTTCTTTCCAAAATTTAATGAATTTATTTGAAACAATCCTGTTCCAAGAAAGGTTCACTTGTGAGTGCTTATTCTGTAGTATTCAGTAACATGCAAAGTGTAAATTAGAGCAAAATTTCTTCAAGTTACAGACTGATGCTACTATTCAATTTGCACCACTTTCAGTACAAAGCCCTTTGATCTGCAAAGCAAAAGATAAGTTTCAAAGCAGTTGATCATTTTATTGCTCTTGGAGCTAGCATTAATTCTTTAATGTACCTAACTCCTCAGAGATTAGCCCAATGTGTAACATGCATTTTGTAAGTTGTAGAGCGAGTGATCAGTTTATCAATATTTCAGTTATCACCCTTCTGAATTTGCTCTTGCTCACCAACTAGGATACTTAAAGTTACAATGTACCTTGAGTACCTGAGTCCTAACCAGCTTTCCCCACACCATCATGTTCTAAATAATATTTATGTCTCCTTGATCTAAGCTGATGTAAGAAATAGGATCCGTCCTTTAAAAGAATGGAACAAACTCAAGTGTGATGTTTGAAATTTGGCCGATGATGGCCGCTTTTATTGGAAGTCCCATTAATAAAAGAAATAAAGTGTATTATTAATAAACATTGAATTATGTTGATAGATGATATAAACATCTAAATAATATATAAAAACTTGATACTTGGGGTGGCTCAACTGGGATGATTGTTTTCACTGTCAATTACCTCATTTCAGATATTTTGCTAAATTGAATATGAATAAAAATAGAAATAATGTAATATAATAATATAAATATAGTTTAAATGTAATCCTTTTTTTTTTTTTTTTTTGACTCATGCTGGCACAAAAGTGTTGCCTATCACACATAATGTTGTATTTACAAGTGTCTGTTTTGCTTCAAATTTCAGACTTGTCATGCTTGAGTGAGCCCAGATATCTGGAGACTTCTTCCCTTCCTGACCCATGTTTACAATCCTGACTGGTAGTTCTGCATAAAACTACAGTATTGGTAGTCAATGCATGTCTATAATCCATGTAATTCAATTGTTTCAGTGCAATTGCCAGGCTTTAGAATGGACAGTTTCAGTCCCCAGAAGACAGAGCTGAAGTTTTCTTTTATCTACATTGCCCACCCGAGAGCAGTAACTGGGTTTTCATGGAGAAAGACCAGCAAGTACATGCCACGGTAAGGAGGGGCATGTTGAACATGGGGATAGCACTTGCATATTAAATTCTCACCAGTGGTGAAATTATTATTGTCATCATCATCATTAAAGAAAATAAGATACACAAATTATTCTTTATCAATTGATCATTGATTTTCCAGCATACAAGACATATAGTTTAAGGCATTGGGTAAAGGAGTATGCTTTAGTCTGTCCAGTGTCTATTACATTTGCAGTGGGTTTGTTGCTGATGAAATTAAGATAAATGCCATGGCATTTCAGTATTTTTTAGGTGTCAGTTTCTGTACTTGGTAAACAAGGCAACTTATGAGATGTTGTCATGTCTAATAAACAACCAGTTTGAATCCTGGAAAGGACTAATGAGCAGGATTAGGATAAGCTCTCTCTGGAATTGGTTTTTGTTCTTGATTATAATGATAAGCAGCGTAAATGTTTGTTCAGCAATAGTTAATCTGGACATATTGCACACATACAAAAATACTTTTAGAATACAAATACTCTATGTCAGGTCACATTGAGGACCATTTTAACGGAAGAAAAGAAAAGGAAAAAATTGATAATAAGATACGTAGAAAACAAAAAAGAAATAAGTAGAAACCAAAACAGCATGCCTTTGTAGCTCACTTCCAGAGCTGCTGTATCTGAAAAGATGTCCCTGGGATGGCTTATCTGGAGTGCAGCCTCTCACACAAAGTCATTTGTTGTAACTGCTGCAATTATTTACAAATTTCAAAGACTTTTTATGCTTTTAGCAAGATCTTATAATATCTAGGTACTTACTTTAAAGTACATGCTATTAAATATGAATCTGGCTGGCTTTGTAGACTTTCAGATAATCTTTTAACATATTTCACATAAATCTTAGTTTTAGGAAATATGTTTAGTAAATTTTTTAGGAGTATGATGAATAATTACTGTAATCATTTCCTTTGACTAGGGCCTGATTCAGACTGGAAAAGATGGGAAGTGATATCTGATCTCATTGTTAGAGTTGCAATTTCCCAGTTAAATTTATTGAATTGCTGGGGGATTTAATATTACAGTAATAGATTGATGAATGACTCACAGGTAGCAATAGCAATATTACTCACAATAGCAGTAATAGATGGTTTTCAATGGGGTATTTCAATAGACATCATTCATCAGTTAGCACTAGTTTTCTGCACAGCAGTAACCCTATGGCACATAGAAATCCACCCGATTTATTTATGTAGCCTGGAGCTGAGTTGGCAACTTGTGTGTTCCCTGCAATTAACAGGTGTCATTAATAAAATCCATTAGACTTTATTTTCATGAAACTGCTATATGCACAGTATGCTGGTATTTTTATAAACACAAATTGTTACATGAATTGTCCATATGAGATATTTCATAAGTCAGTTGCAACAATTTTTGAGTGTCCCTTGTGAAGTTGAAAAGGGAACTAAAATTGAATTTTTTAACTGTAGGTTGCTGTTCAATCTTGGTGTGTTTCGTAAGAGATTTAATGTTTCATCTGTTGATAGAAGTTGGAACTTTGATGCATGCTGATCTATTTCTTTAAACCAGCTGGACACAGATTGTCAGACGACCAGAAAACGTACAGACACATTATAAATTGGTTGCTCTTGTTATTTGGTCATTTGATGATGGAAGTTAGACTCATTTCCATTTTGCAGCAGTCTTGGTCTAAACACGGCTGTAAATGGTGATGGATGGAGAGAGGTATCAATTAGATCTCTCAGGGAATTGTCTGTTAACCAGATTAAGCCTGCCCATGATAAAAAAGTTTCATTAGTCTTCTTAATTGGCTCAGTCCAGATGAATTGATATATGAATAAATGTAAAATGATAAATGTCAGCAGTATCTCTAATTGGTTTTTTATGGATCTTGTTTGCTAATTATCTCTTTTTTTTACCACATTTTTATACTGACTGTACTGGAATTATTATCAGTGAGTGTCCAAATGGCTTTCTGAGTTTGTAAGTCAGAAAGAAAAACAAAACACCTATAACTGATGCTGAAAAATTTGAGCAAGTTATGTCATTTTGTCATTTGGAAACAATTTTTGTTTTGTTTGTTTGTGTATGTGTATATGTCTTTATGCTGATATTATCATTATAATTATTAAATTTCAGAGGGGCAGTTGGCAATATGTTGGTAACATCATGTAGGGACAACATATGTCGTATCTGGGTGGAGACAATACTGCCAGACAATGGACTGGTGGACCTGCACCAGTTTGATCCCACTGCCGCCACCAACCCAAAGTACAGGACACATAGACACAAGAATAAATTCATCCAAAGGATTAACCACATCAGGTACATAATGTTGTCTTGTATTTTATAATTTTATTTAATTATTGGCCAATTATATGGTAGTGCTTTGAATTCCGCCACCATTTTGATTGTGACGAGTTAAAAGTGGTCAGCTGACAAGGTCCTAGTAAAATCGGTCCCAAATTTTATGGTACAGTGTGATTTTTTTTTTCATATCACATCTTTATTTCCTTTTCCAGGAATGCCCTTCACAAAAGAAAGCGACATAAAAGATATCATCAGCAGCCAGTAGATGGCGATGGTGTTCTCCCACTCCCAAGCATGAAGAGTACTCACGATTTCCATAAATTTGGTGTCCATGACATTCTTGGCATTTCTCCAGGATTTCATTTTCATTTAGCTGCTAGTATTAACCCAGAAACAGGTAAATGACAAAAATAATATTTTTGTATATAATTTATAGTATTTGTTCTTGTGACAGTTACAGTGTTTTGTTATAAATTTTAAGTAAACTTTTGGACAAGGTGGTCAGATATTATTGAAAGGGGGTAAGACAAAAGAAAAAAATCAAATGGAGCTAGGCCAAGGGGTGTGTGTGGAATAAGTTCCCATCTAAATTAGATTAGTCTGATTTTGTGTTAATATAATTTATAACATACAGGATTGCATCAAGATATTTATTGCACATTTGCTAGTCTTCATATGCAGGTTCAAGTTTTGACTAAGATGACTTGAAACAGGAAATTTGTCTAAATACCACTATTATATGGCTAGGTTATAGTAGTGAGTCATTGTGTAATACCTCAGTCTATAATCTGGCCATCTGTTGTAGGAAGTTAGGCAGATTTTGTGTTAAATTGAGGGCCATGGAGAAGATAATTTTTATAAATACCATGTTTTTACCCTCAATAAATAAAGTTTAATAAATAAAATAAATAAAAATGTCTGCCTTATATCCATACTTTATTCATTGTCAATGATTTCATGTAAAAAATCTACATTTGATATTAATTGGTACATTTTTTTCTTTCTGAAGATATCCCTCTTCTCCCAGCTGTACAGGGCATGAAGGGCAGCAAGGATAGCAACTTTGTGGTCCATTGGCTGAATAACAAGGAGTTCCATTTCTCACTAGAAGCTGAGAAAATTTTAGAAAATATCTTTAAGAAAGCTGCGGAGACAGAAAAGAATCAGATGAAAGAAAAGGAGAAGGCAGGAGAAAGTCATGACAGTCATTATAGTGATGATTATGACCATCACGAGGAACATAAGCATGGTGATTACATTAAAAAAAGAAAATTTTTTGTTGGTGCTTGTGCGCGTGCTTATTTGTGGGTATGTGAGAAGATATTTTAGATGATTGGTTACCAGTCATTCAAAGGACAATAATTGTTGGAAGTTTTTAAAAAAATTCAGATTTCAGGAAATATGATTGATATATGTTTGCATCATTTAATCTCTGGTACATCGGCAAAACATTTGCATGTATAATGCTATACATCACCAAAATAAAAAACGTAAAATTAAGAGTTTGACATTGACACTGTGTGTGTCTTTAATTTTCAGAGAAGAAAAAGAAGAGATACTCTCTAAAATTAAAGCGCCATCACAAGGATCATCACAAAGACAAGGAGCATCACCGCCATGAGAACGGCGATGCCAATGATCACCATCATGACAGTGACAAACACAGAAGTTCCGGCATGTATACAGTCCGCAGTGATGTTTCTATGACATCACATGGATCCAGCAATGTTTTAAATGATACTGAACCAGTGAAGGTAAAATATCTTCATAGTCTGCTTTATAACACAGGGCTATAACATATATTTATATACACATATATATAGCCATAACTATGGGTATGCATACTGTGTAGGGTAAGTTGAATTTAAAAACTTCCCCACTTTGATTCCATATTAATGTTGACCCCTGGTGCTGGGATTTTATTTTACACAAAAAACTTACTTTTTAACTAATTTTGGTGCTGGGATTTGATTTGGAAGTGATTTCACTATAATTTTATTAATTTTGATGTGATTTGTGGTTTAAATTGGTATAATATCAGTTTTATTGCAATCAATTAAATGTTGTCTGCATGACCAGCAGTCTTGTGCATGTATGGGGTTCACATTTACTATGGGATGGAGTTTCTTGCATGTGTTGCATGAGCTTTACTCTTTATAGAGAGAGCTATACTATGCATAGACTGGAAATTTTGTTGTGGCATTTTACACTTTTCTTAGAACAATTGTATATTTAAAACTGCTAGTTATAGAGGTGTTGTGCTACTTTTTGGTGATTTGTATATGTATATAAAACATATACTACTGTTGTGGCTTTGTATTTGAAAATGCATGTTTTGTGGTGTGTCCTATTAGGTTATTTTGTTGGTTTTTTTTAATTATATGTTTTTTGTTAATTAGGTTAACATCAGATTTTTTCAGAAATGTGGCTTTTCACTGATAAATTTTAAAAAGGTGGTAACCTACTTAACAAGAACTTTGTTGTTGTTTGATGTAATTACTTGCACACTATAAGCAAACTGCAGTGATTGCTTCTCCTGTCGTGAGCTTTTGAAATGAAATTGTATATAATTATTGATACTGTCACACGCACTAGCAAATGCAAGATTGCTCATGAATTTATTGGTCTCCTCCCCATGTCTTTTTTTAAATTTCATTTATTTATTTTTTTAATTATTGGGTGCACCCTGTTGTTTATAACACAATCCATGGCTTCTGATCTAGAGTTTTTACATATCATTTTGGCCTGAACAAGAAGCCATTGATATGTGCAATGTGTATAACTCGGTATAGATTCTTGATTGTTAGTTAAAAAACAATGCTTGAAAACTGGGGAAAAAATTATTGACCTTCATAGTTGCCTGCTAAAATTGGATTGTTCCTGAAACAGTTTGTTTTATTTTATCCAATTATCTGTTAATGAGAAGAAAGGGTTTGTAATGTTTGAATGATTTACAGTGATCAAGAATTTATACATAGTTTGTGTCTGTTTGTATTTGTATGCACACTAGTATTTCTGCGTTTGTTTGAATGCCATTTTCTTCTCTTTCTCAGTATCCCTGCACAAGGTGTTTGTTCCTCTAGCAGTTTGGTAGTGGTGCTGGTAATACGGTGCTGGCAAAGCAGTGCAAAGAGTGGTGTTTGTAATGGTGCTACTTTAAAAAACAGCCCAGGTGCACCAGTCTGTAAAAAGCTTGCATTTTACGGTTTGCTTCAGGAATGCAAGCTTTAAAAAACACCTCCAATTTTTCATCCTCTCAGCACGTGACAAAGGCATGAAGGCATCCTTGGATGGAATCTTGAAAAGTTAAAATTGGTTTGGTTTAAACCTTAAGTAATATTAAAAGATTTGTCCTTTTTTTTCTCTTTCATTCTCGGTTTGTAGACTGTGCACTTCTCTGAATCATCTTGTAACAGTGGTGAAACTGTTGTTCCTCAGGTGACAGCTAATGAGGCTTTAGACACTAAGATAGAACAGTTGCTACTGGACTGGCATCAGAGTGCTGACATGTTGTTCAGCATTCACCCTGTGGACGGGAGTTTTCTTGTGTGGTAAGTGGAATTGAGGTAAAAAGAAGTCTTTCCCAAATCAAATTTTCATGTTTCACTTCCATGTTTGTTTCATATGAATAAAACTGTGATTTGAAAGGTGATTGGGAAGCAGGTAACTATTGAATTTTATATTTCCCTCTGACACAACTGTGTCATTCGGCATTATAACAGAATAAACAGGCTGACATATACTTAGTACGGCCGTAAGAAATAAATTGGCCATGAATATATTAGATCTCTTGTTATGTTTATAAACTGATATCTGTTCAAAATAAAAAAGGATAATTTAAAATGGCTTGTTATTTTCAGTTAAAAGCATATTTAATCTGGTGATATTCAAACACTTTCAGGTTAATTGACTGGCTGGATGAGTACATCCCTGGTTCGTTCCGCCAAGCACAGGTCAGTTTTTCCTCCAGAATTCCTCATGCTCTGCCCCAGGCTGATGCTCTCAATATGCACCCTCACATGGAGCTGTACTGCAAGCACAGCAAGATGGATATCCAGTCAGCTCTCTACATGCATCAGGAGACACTGGAGAGTTCCAGTGGAAGTTGTTTGTCATTCAGTTCAGTGAGGGGGGAAAGAGAAGACCAAGACAGATCCAACTGTGATAGCTCCATTCTACCAATCATATTAATGCTTTCAAAACACCAGGATGGGTCTCTGAACCAGTGGCAAATCAGCTTTGCTGAGACATCAAAATTTGCGACTGTGCTAAGCATATCCCATGTGGCACGGGCATGTGGGCATCGTTTCCGCACAAACACTGCTGCGTGTCATCCTGTGCTTCCATTGCTTCTTACAACGTCACATCATAATATGCCAGAGAGTTCAGCGACCTCGGAGGCAAATTGTAAGCAGGGCTGGGAGCCTGCAGGTTTTTGTAGTGAGTTGATATTGTGGAGAGTTGATCCTGTGGGACCATTGTCCAAATTAGGAGGAATAACAGAACTGGCCAGGATTAATTCCCCTTGCTTATCAGCATTTTCTAGTGTTGCTTGGCTTCCGACATTATTACCAAGGTAAAGCCTTTATTTTTCTATCAGCCCTGCACCTTTATTTGTCAGTGGGACTGGGAGTAACTATAGTTTTGAGCTGTGATAGACTTTGTAGAATTAGAGAAAATAAAATTGCCTGTGTTAAATGTTTATATCAAACTTACAATACTAAACTGATTCCTTTTAATTTCATGCCATTTTTTATGTATTAGTGCTTTTTTGTTTCTCAAAACTTCTTGAGGAAGTCATTTCTTAGCTGCATTTACTTTCACTCCTTCTTCTGCAAATAGACTTTTCAAAAATAGTAAAACAATTGTTTATGTACATTTTTTGTGGGGTCATGCCAGTATATTAAGTTCTCATTGAATTATAACGATCTAATGTTTATTTATTTATTTTTTCCAGAAAGAGTTGATGATCTTTAATGTTTGGATAAATGTTTATGCTAGAATTTATCAATGTAATAAAAAAATAAATGCAATTTATAACCTTAAATTATTACCACTTTCATCATCAGCTATAGTCTAGGTTCTAAAAGCAACTCTCCCAGTGCGTTATTTGTGGCCAGTGATGGCAGCTGCCTACGTGTGTACCAAGCTGTGATAGATGCCAGAACTCTCATGGTAGACAAACAGATCAGAAGGGACACTGAGGTATTAAATAAAACCTTTAAATGTTTGCACAGTTTCGTCATGATTCTGAGATATTTGATCAACAATGTTTGCAGAAATGAGGGTTGTTCAGTTTCTTCATGATTGTGTGGTATTTGATAGTAACTACTGGTCTAAGATTGGAATACACATCAGAAAAAGGGAAACGGGCATAAGTTATATTCTTACTGATAGTAAACCTTTTAAGCAGCATTGATTCATTAGGAAAAAAAAACATATCCCAGAACAGAATGCTTCTCACAGATGCTTGTTTTAGACCTTTTAAGGGCATGTGAAAAAATTGATCATAACATTTCAATGGAAAAATTAAGCACTTAAAGAATCCCACCGAGTCACCGGCACTTCTTGCTTTAAGTTCTTTTTATATCAGAAAAATCAGCTTGATGGCAGAATTAGCTAGGGTACAAAATTAGGCCCTATCTTGTAAATTGATATTGGAAGGATGACTTTAATGCTGGATCTGTTCATAAAAATGTTTGTACTCTCTTCCAGTCCTTTGCAAGTTTTACCACAATGTCAGATAGTATGGATATGAACAGTGGTACAACCCTGGGAGGCGAGTTCAACATAGTCAGCCTCCAGTCTACTGCCAGACCAGGCTGCATCATAGAGCTTGACAGCCTCACAGATGCTGTACAGGTTAGAATACTTGAAGAAAAATAAATGACTTTTAACCATTTCATTATTATCATATTCAATTTAGTCAAATCCAAGTCCAGGCTCTTAGCTGAACCAAGCTTTGTATATTCTTGTTTCACTGTTCTGTTTGTTTTATATAGGTATATTATACATTAGTTATTGTTGCATGCATGGATGAAATAAAGAATTATGGAAAAACATGAAAATAGTATTACATTTTGAATACATAGACCATATGTAGATTATGAAGTTATGTAGTTCGAAGTATAGACTTTTTGGAGATAATTATCTAATATGCTAAAAGTTGATTTGAAATTCATGGCCAATCTACTGAAAAAGACACCCCCCCTCCTCAAAAAAATGTATTGTGCTGTAATTTGGCTTCACAGCTTGTACCCATGCTTCTGTTCATATTAACTTAAAGTATCAATGTTTCCTTTCAGGACTGGCACAATACCCAGCTCTTGCACATTTTCCAAGAGCAGATGGTCACTGGCAGGCTGCCCCCTAGCCATTCGGACCATGCTGACCAGGCCAACCAAGAAGCCTTTGTGGACCTGAGGTACCTGTCCATGTTTGAGGAGAACTTCTACCTTGTGGTGGTAGAGAAAGTGCCCAGTGAGCACCACTCTGTCATCCATATGTGGAAGATTGTGATAGCCTCACAGCCAGATTTTCCTGGTAAGTAACTTCACTGCTACAAATCTAATACTGGCATATCAGACTTTTGCCAGTAGGCAAGAATTATATACTTTGGCTAGAGAGAGAAAAATACTTCCGTATGGTATTTTGTTATGTATTAATTGTGTAATTTATCTATGTTATGTAATTTATTCCATTTTGGCAAAAAAATGTTTTTCTCTAAGTTTTATTTACTGACTAAAACATTAGTTAAACTATAATGAAAAATCAGTATACAATGTATATTTTGCTTGTCTTATGTTTTTCTGGTCTGTTAAACATAATTTAAGTAGAGCGGAAGAAGAAAGACATTTAAGTCGAAGAAGAAAGACATTTAAGCAGTCATCTGTGAATTCTTATATTGATATTTTCAGGTCAGAAAACTGAAGGTAATCGTGGCCCAGAGACTGAGAACACGCGGTATGAAGATGACAGCTCTATTAACTCAGATATCAGTGATGCCCAGGATGGGACCACATCAAGAGAAACCAAGAGACCAAAGATCAATATAAGCACTACCAAAGTAAATAATTGGTTTTGTCTTGGAATAATTACAATATAAATGATTTAGTCAATATATATACTATATACTACATTTTTTGTGTAACTTTCATGTGTTATATATGTAATATGAAAATACCATGTTTTTCTGTTACAAAATGTATTTATTTCTTAATATCACAAATAACCCACCACCTATAAATGCAACATTTTAGGATAAAGATATATTTTTATTTTTGTACTGGAATAGCTGGAGTATACCAAGCTAGGAATTGAATACCAATTTTCTATTGAAGGAAAGCATTTCTTTTTAAAACTTTTCAGGAGCCTGATTCAAAGCAAACGGAATTATATGGTGAAGCACATGTCTCTATAGAACATGTGAGATGAGAATGCCTTTTCAAATGATGCAAACCATTTAACACAAAAAAACAGAGATGCTTAGAGATTTAAATTTGAATTTCTCCAAGATTAATAACTATAATTCAATGAAATTTCACTTATATTTAATTACGATTTGTCCATTTTTGGACAAAGGTTTTGTATTGAGAGCTGCTTCAAACCTATCTGCTGCAAGCAGTACTAAGTAGTATTTAAATTTCATTGAAGTATAGTGACTGTGGGTGATTTTTGAAGAAAAGATTACTTTTCAGTTTAGGGTGTTTTGTTCTCTTTTTTTCATACATTCAATTCATGCAGCAAATTTATGATCAAGTGCTGTTCAGTTTCGAAATAATAATAAAGTGATTCTGTTCGGGATTCATAGATAATTTCAGATTCTTTTGGTATTGGTGCAGGGAGAATATCAGTTAATTTTGAGTAGTACTAGATAGGCTTCTCATTTCCACTAAAAACAAGTGTTGATTTCTTTGAACATCTTTCACAGATGAAATATAAGATATAGAAAAAGCTTGAGATAAATGAAAGCAGTCTACTACTTTGTTTATATCTTTACCACAATGACAAAATGAACTGAAAATTTTTTTTCTGTCTATAATATTAGAATCAGTGCTAATTGTGATAGCTTCTACAGCATTATTGACAGTGTTTTACATCACACATTGTTTCAGTCAATTTTCTCACTTCATTTAAGGTACTTCTATTCTGTTTTTGATATTTATATATTTTTAGTAAATTTATTATTCATTTTATTATTCATCACCGTAGAAAAAATTATGACAAGTTGAGCCTCAGGTGTGCACTGTTAACATATTCAGTACTTATTTCTTCAGGTATGACAGGTGTAAAAATTGATTAAGTAAGATCATAATTTTTTACCTTTTGATCACTTCCTTGTTACTTTTCCACTTCAGGTGCACTCTCAAAAGCTTCATCTACCAGAGGGGATCGAAATCACCTGCGCTCAAGTGGCAGCTGGTCACCTGAGTAGTTCATCCATCTACCCAGCATGCTTTGCTCCGTACCTTATTGTGACAGCTTGCTCTGACCGGGTGCTAAGGTTTTGGAGGTGTAAGACAACAGTGGATAAGGAGAGCAAGACGGAGAGCTTTGAGTGGCTAGAGTGGGAGATGATGATAAGGACAGAGGACTCCAGTGCAATACATATTCCAGGTATTATAATAGGACCAAACAGAATATGTTAAAGCATATGTATGATAGATAGAAATTTCAGCCAAAGACAATTGTTTGTCATTGACACTGTGAAGACTTTTGCACCCCCTTTTTATGAGGATTAGTGGAGTGAGTGATAGCAACAAGATGAAAAACATTTTTTTTTTCATATGAAAGGATTGAATGTTTATGTTCTCGGTCAAGAACTGCTATCACAACTCTTAACTAACAGTTACGAGATCTTAGTTAATTGGTATATTTACCTACAATGCAACCAAGGTGTATAAATCATTGAATTGTTCTTTTAATCTTGTTCTTATATATTATTAACTGCAGCCAATACACCAGGTTAAGTCCTGACCTTTTTCATGTTCATAAAGGCCATGAGGTGAACCATCATGTTATAACTTTGTCAGTAGAATGTGAAATCTCACAGAAAATTTATATATAAAAATATTTATGTACAGAAAATGAATGTGAAAGGATTCAGAGTCACAGGTGTATATCAATGTTTTTGTATAACGTAGGTCGTCCCATTAGTGTGAACTGTGCATACAGTGGTCGTGTAGCTGTGGCATACAGGACAGGACATGTCAGAGCACACACACATAGACCTGAGGATAAAGTGATCAACTGCTGTGTGGCAATATATGAGTGTGAATCAACAGGTTAGAACAATAGAATTCATAATGATGATAATTATTGATTCAGAAGTGCATTTCTTTACTTTCCAATAGCAAATTGAAGAAAAAAGAACTACAACAGGATTTTTCACAAGCTCTTTACACTTTTGCTCCTTTAAAATTGTTTTGATAAATTTAGTTAGTAATTCTGCTCATCCAAATTTGTACTTTGGTAACTGTATGTGAAATATTTTAGATTCATAAATTATGGTCAGCATGTATGTATTGTTGCAACAAGTCCAGTGAAATCCTAATCACAAGATTTCGCATGTTTATTTATTTGTATACTTTTTATCAAGGTGGCTCAGAGTGGACACTAGAGGACACCATTCAACTGAACAACATCCCTATACCAGACCCCAAAACTGAGATAGACCTCAGCTACATCAACGACGTGGAGAAGAGATTGTCCCATATCAACTCCAATGAAGATTTCACAAAACTAAGTCTGGGGTTGGCGCCCTCTCAGTCTCACTCCAGTCTCACCCGCATTATGTCTATACCCAGTTTAAGTACCATCAATAGTGTGAAACGATCCATAGGAGAGAAGGGAAATAAAGCCGGGATATTAAAACAGAAACATTTGGTGCAATTAGACTGGGTGTCCACTGAGGACGGGTCTCATATTCTGACCGTCGGTGTAGGGTCACGGATTATGATGTACGCCCCAGTGTCAAGTGAGATCTCACAAGCAACACAGAAGGATTTATTGGCCAAGGTTGAGGCTAATAGGAGAGGTATACTACAGAAGAGCAAGTCTATGACTGTGCAAAACTATGTGCAGGAGATTAGGTGGATGAAGTTGCGTACTATAGAACTAAGCACAGCAGATGGTTTGCCACCACTTCCCATGCACATAACATGGGCAAGAGAAGGGATTTTGGTCGTGGGCATGGACAATGAGATGCATGTGTATTCCCAATGGAAAGGTCCCTGGGAGGGTATCCTGGATCACATAGCAGCCAATACCTACCACAGCCAGTTTTCAGACGAGGCAGATTCGAGAACTTTACCAGAACAAAACCTTACCACTGCTGCTACCTCGGCTAATCTCTCTAAGATCAAGTCCACCACTGGGTTCAAAGTTTCATACTCTGTGCCCAGCCTGATAGCACTGCAGCAAGGAACATCACCAAACAGACAGGAGTCAAGATCCATGAAGGTCCCTGAAGGAAGAAAACTAACACAAAAAGACAGCAGTACTAATGATTTTGTGAGTAATAGATTATCAATGAAGAAATTGTCTATGAAGCAGATTGGCAACATGGACGACAATGACAGCACAACAAGCCTTACACTCATCCAAGATGTGGGGCTGTTTGAAGCAGCCAAGATGGCCAACCCAGTGTTGCCACAGTATCACCCCAAACAAATCTTGGAGTTGCTCAACTTTGGGAAGCTGCGCCGTGTGAAAGCCATTCTTGCTCATCTGATTCGGTGTATAAGTGGTAGCAATGGGACCCAAGGAGGCACCATGGACAATTCTGAGGAGCCCTCCAGTAGCAGTATACTACAGAGGTCTATATCAGTGGGCAGTCCCGGGGTAGAGAGGGGCCCTGCCATACCAGAGGAGACCCACCTTGACTACATAGAGATCACATCCATTCCTCCCCTGCCACTCCATGCACTACTAGCTGCTGACAATGCTGTGAATGATAATGCTGGAAATGCTGTAGATACTCATGGTATGGAGTTGAATTACACGAAATGTATATAATTAATGGCAAATGTATGGCCATTTTAGAGGTACCCGGTATGCTGCTCTGGGGCATGTCTAGTAGTAGTAATATAGTGTAAGCTATAACTTCTTTTTCTAACATTTGGATAGCTTTTTATAAATTAATGTTACGCTACAAATAGGTTTTGACACATTACTTTTATACAGACTTTGGATATATAACTTGAATTGTTGAATTATGGAATTTGATATTTTCTGTTACAGGTACTTCATTACAAGGACAAGACTACTCGGACCTATTCAAAACTGACGTCATGTCTGGGGACGACCCTTTTGCAGATGACCTGCTCCATGACGGTAGCCCCACTGTACGTATTCGATCCAGCTCAAAGAGCCAAGCCAACCAGCATCACTTTGGGTCAGCTGAGGCCACGCTGCTGACCAACCATCTGACCCATATCCACTTGCCTGGACTGTCCAGTCTTGACCAGATGTACCTGCTGGCCCTTGCAGATACTGTGGCCAGTATGAAGTCTGAGATGAGTGAAAAAGATTTGAGCCAAAGTCACAGTAAGTATAGTTAAACTAGGGTTACCACAGTGGCAAATTTCTACAAACTTAACACTTGCATAACACTTGCTCAAGTAGACACTGGTATCTGTTTTATATTTCATATTACATGTATTATTTTTTTTCATACTTTTCCCATATGTAACCTTGTATACCTCAATATATTCCTTTTTCATGTGCAAGCAATAAAGAACAGATCTCCTTTGTGGTAATATTATGTGGCATACATGAATTGTTTGCTTTGTTAACTTAATGGTTTCAATTATTTTTTTCTCTAATATTTTGGTGTCTGGTCTGTCGAGTCACCATCAGCAAATGAAGCCACTTTCATAGTTACGGATTGGTGAACACAAATTAAGAAATTCTTTATTAAACCTGTTCTTTAGGTTTTGTGGGATCTCTGCGTGGCAGCTCTGCTACCAGTGGCTATGCTTCAGCTGGAGGGACTCCTGTTGTCACAGGTAAGAAATACAGCTGACCCTTTACAGTTAATACCTGGTTTCTTCTGGTAAAAAATTGGATTTTTGAGAAGATGTGTGAAGAAAGATATACAAATAAACTACTGAATATAATAATTATGATGATAATGACAATCAAAGCAAAAAATACAATTCACTTGTATCTTACATACCTGTGCAGGTATTCTGCCTTAAAGGAAAATCATTACTACAAATTACATTTAAAGACACCAGTTTATATTGATTGGTTCATATGAATTGATATTATGGTATTTCAGATGCTGTTGACGAGTGTGGTCTTCGTTTCCTACTGGCCATGCGTCGTCACATGTATTTGCTACGTATCCTCCCCATACGCTCAAGAACCATGCTGCATGCTCAAGGCCTGTCTCCAGCTGACGTTATTTGGGCTTTTCATTCAGAAGCTCAAGAGGTATATTACTGTGCACATTTTGAAGAAGAAGTCTGTACTGATATCATGAAGTTAATTAAGGGAGAGGATGAAAATTTTGTTTTCCACTAGGTCATCTAAGTAACTCCTTTCTACAATTTGGATATCACATATTATATATACTATATTTGTTTGTTGCTATTACAGGAACTTCTGGCCATGATCCCCTGTATGCAGAAGGAGAAGCCAACGTGGTCAGAGCTGAGGCAGTTTGGAGTTGGCTGGTGGCTCACCAACACCACCATCCTCAGGAGATGTATAGAACAGGTGATTTGCTTCTACTTGCACAATATGAACAGAATTGATGAGCTGCCAGTAATATAGTTGTTCTTCTTACCCAATAAACAGATAAAATCAGCTATGTGATTGTCATAGACATGTCATGAAAAGGTAATTTAAAATATTTCAACATAGAATTTTATGGAAGATATTAGCACTATCCTTTGTTACTAATTGTTGGCATGTGATATTTATTTTATAGAAAAATAGTTTGTATATGTTAAGACTTGGAAGCATATATTTTGAATATTTATCATATCAGACACTTTTTAATAAGATATAATTTGTTGATGTTATTTTATTCTGCACAGCTTGCCAGAGCTGCCTTCCAGCAGAAGTCTGACCCTCTTGATGCTGCCATATACTACCTGGCCATGAAGAAGAAGAATGTAGTGTGGGGGCTTTACAGGTAATATTTGTTGTTATGTTAGATATAGATATTTGATATATTAAAGATTTTCCAAATTAAGCTTTATATGTCTAAGAAGAAAGAAATGATGGATTTTCCTTATTCTGATTTGGGTAGCCCTTACATTCTGGATAACTCAATCAGTTTCATTTTGAACAAATATGTGAACATGAAAAATTCAAGTACATATTTTGGTTTTTCTAATGAAATGATGAATTATTCACTTTTTAGTTGAAATTTTCAGCCATTTTGAAAAAGGGAATTTTATCCTATAGTGTGTCCAGATCCAGACAACCAGATTGTATTTGGAAGTTTGCCAAGTGTATAATGCACATGTAACAATCTGATGCATTCCTTTTTCTTAAAGGTCTGTGAACAACAAGAAGATGGTGGATTTCTTCAAGAATAATTTCTCTGAAGATCGCTGGAGGAAGGCTGCTCTTAAGAATGCCTTTGCACTGTTGGGATTACAGAGATTCGAACATTCTGCTGCATTCTTCTTGTTAGCTGGGGCCCTGAAGGATGCTTTGGAGGTTACTTTTTTTTCTTTCTTGTTTCAAAGAATGTCTAGTCTGTTGAAAATAGAAAGAGAGTATCTTACAAAAAAAAAGAAGGATATTTTTTATTTATGATTGCAAATTATGATCTGACTAGGGCTCACTTCAGTTTTTTTGTGTAGTCTCTTTAAAATCTTGTATTATCTTGTCAGATCCCAACTTATCTTTTTAATTTCAATGTATACAGGTGATACAATTCATTAAAGTCTTGGTATTTTTAAGTGTATGTAACACTGTACCCTTGTTGCCAGACTCAAGTGGCACATGCTGTGTTTATCTCCAGGTGTGTATCAACCAGCTGAAGGACCTGCAGTTGGCTTTTGTGATCGCCACCCTTCATGAAACAGAACTAGGCTCGGAAGAATCCATGGCTCCCAGTGTAAAGAAACTCTTCTACAGGGAGATCCTTGGACTGGATGATAATGGAGAAAATCCTGACCTGGATAGAGTACACCCAGACCCCTTCCTCCGCAGCATGGCATACTGGAGGATGAAGGAGTACAAAAATGCTCTGAACACCCTCCTGCAGAAAACGTCATCAAATTTTCGTGGCGTTAACAGGAACGATATTGACTCAGTGGAAGAGGACGAGGATGTTGGGTCATATGCTGCCAAAGCTAGTGTATTTAATTTTTATAACTATCTAAGGACTCACCCCTTGTTGATACGTCAGCACCTGGCTACCACAGCCCAGGAGTCCCACACTACTGTGCTTCTGTCTGGATTCAGCCATGGTAGGAAACAAGATGTGGTCTCAGACAAGCATGTGTCATATGTGGATACTATCACCCCTATTGAAAGAAGACTGTTCTTTCACACTGCTCACACCCATTTGAAGGCTGGATGTCCACTGCTGGCCTTAGAAGTGCTTACCAAGTTACCTGATGTTATAGCAAGGGAGGAAGATGAGGAAGAGGATTTTATGAAAAAACAATTCAGAAGTAAATCTATTGTAGACACAGGGACCCTGGAGTTACCACAGTCAGTACTAGCCAGCATAGCTGAAGATGCTGGCAGCCTGCCTAATTCTAAAAACAATTCTGTTGCATCATTTGATTGGTCAACCCCCACAACACAGCAGAAAGCTGATGCTTTTGATTGGTCAACTCCTGTGACACAGCAAAAAGCTGACACTTTTGATTGGTCCCAACCTCTGAATAAAGGATTGTCTTCTAGGTTTGATGATGAGCTTGAGATGGACTTCAAAGTTAATGGAGATGATGGATCCTCAAGTGATTCTTCTGATGAAGGTTAGACCAATACAGCTGATATGAACTGATCTTAAAATTGTCAAATACTTTTAAAATTTACCTTTTGCTGTATCAGCACTATGGGTGTATATTTGGGGTGTTCTTACTAATAGATGTTGTTAAATTGATCTATATATGTTTTCTTGAAGTTGATTTGAAAATGAAGTTGGTTTAGGTTACCATTTCAATATTTCATATTGCTATGATATTATAACACCTCTGGGTTTGCGAAAATGTTATGAACACAGTTCAAGTGAAATGTTGTGTAAGGTGACTATTTTATATCGGTGTTATACAAAACTGTTAATTAATTATACTTATTATGTCATTTATCCTAATTTTCCAAGGTGGCATTGTATTAAAAACAGAAAAGTCCTCTGATGCAGACTATGACACAGAGGCAGAGGACCAAACTGAAGGTGATGTCGACACCAGCGACCAACACACAACAACAGATATCATGGCACAGCAACTGAAATACATCGCCTGTTTGAAGATTTTGATGGAGAATTTGTCCACTCTGGCCACAGGGTTTGAGGTGGACGGCGGTCAGTTGAGGTGTCACTTGTACACTTGGTTGGAGAAGGAAGTGGAGTGTTTGAAAACCCTGTGTAATTATGGAGGTGGAGAGCGTGAGACAGGAACCCAGCCAGACTTGATGGAAACACCAGCTAGTTTAGGTGTTTTAAGTTTTTCTGTTCTAGAAATTTTTGAGAACCAAAAATAAAGTAATTATAATCTACAATGTTGTTGGTAATGTGATAAGGTTTTCTGAGAGTGAACAATTATATAATATGCTTTGTTAATTGATAGCACACGGTACATTATTGTAATTCTTTCAGAGACAATCTGTATTGCTTCTAGTTGTTATAAAATGTTAGAAGCCAATAATTCACAAAAGTTAGACATTAATTTTCAAAAATGCATTTAATATCAGAAACATAAAGTTGCTTAACTAAAGTGTATTATTACTTATCTTGAAAACCTTCCAGCAGAGGCACAGCCTGACAACACAGAGAGTTGTGAAGAAGACACCTACACACCTGCCCGGCGTGCCAGTGCTGACAGTTTACTTTCACCACCAGCACATGCCAGAGAGCGTCGACCCAGCATTGCTAGCACTCTAGCTGAGGTGATCAAAGTGGAGAAGATGAACTTCGAGGCCAAGCTGGAGAGAGCGCAAAGGAGGAAAGAATGGCTGAAAATACATCAACATCTCTTAAGAACTTTTGCCACGTACTGCAGTTTGCATGGAGCCTCGGGAGGAGGTTTGGCCTCTGTCAGAATGGAGCTCACGTTATTGCTTCAGGAGTTACACCAGGATAATGTCCAGAGACAGCTCCTCTCTCCCTTACCTTTCCCAACCACCCTCCCTCTCCTATCTGCAGGCGTGGCCAGCTCAAAAACCGTCATGGCGGATCCAATCCAACACCTGCAGAGCATGACCTGGGATATTCTTCAGACAATCATCGAGTTCAAGCACCCTCCGTACATTGATAACATGCTGGATAGAGTGTTTGTGTTACGGAACCTGAGTGCTGCACTGTCAGCATGTATATACCAGTGCCTGTGTGACAGCGATAACTTTGTCATCTCCATGTCAGATAAGGTGGATGTAGGACTGTGGGGGTTTACAAGGTGAGAAGACCCTGACTGAATATCCTAGCTAACTGAATTGTGAATAATGATTCCTTTTTTTGTGTCATTCAAAAGCACATCTAAAAGACCCACTGTAAATGACGTATAGATGTTTTTGTCAGTGTTTCATATTTATAAGCAGTTCCAAGACAAACAAACATTATAAGTGCCAGTTAAATAAAGAGAAGGGTAGCTATACTAATTGTGTATTTCAGTACATCTGTTGTATACCAAGACACACATCTCATGGCTGGAGCCATCAGGAAGAGGCACAGGAGTTTTGGCGCAGCTGAGGAGAAACCCAACACCTCACCTGGCAAGTGGCCAGGTAAGAAGCTGGTGAAAATAGGGGATGGGGCAGGGGAATAGAATCTCTCTTCGCTGTATTGGTTATTTTGGTATCATGCAATCAAATTATTATAAATCAATTCATAGTGATAATCATGCAGTTTAATACAATTGACAGTCACTAAATCATTTCACTGAATATTTATTTTACACAATCGGATTTTATTTCATGTTTGTTATCACTGTGTCTTTTAAACCAACAGAATAATTTTAATTAACAAGTCTCACTGGCATCTCTTTCACAGGTGTGACCCAGCTCAGAAACTTACTGCACAAAGAGAAGGACATCGACTGCCCCAAGCTGACCATACTGTTGTGTGAGGCCCTGGTCGCGGTGTACGTCAGCCTGCTCATCTACGCCATGTCTATCTACGAGGCCAACATACTGTACAGGCTGATATCTCACCCTATCAATGAGCAGATGTGGGGACTGCTGTTTGGAGGAGGGCTGAGACAGCTGGTGTCTATGTCACAGGGGAGTCCTTTGATAAGCTCCCTCAGTAAGTCAATCCACTGGTTGCTCATTCAGTAACAATTTTTTGTGTTATTTTGTTTAGAGAGAGAGATTATGAGCTTAACATGATTGCTGTTAGGTTATTGTTGAAGAGAAAACTTAACTTTTAAATTGAATTTTAAAAGAATATTAGATTATTTTACAAAGATATGAATCATTGATATGTTCAGTTTCCACAATAAAAGCTTGTACTTCAATTACCGTTTTATGAATATGTTTTGTTTTCTTTTCACATTACATTTGACATGCTTTTCAGAATATGTAAATCACATATTTCACATACTGATAACTAAATAAACTTGTTTTTAGAAAGTTAATGCCACTGTTAAATTGTCCCTCTGTCTTCTCTCTTAAAGAAAAACCTGACTCAAATGAAGCCACCAAGCAGAGGATGAAATTCATGGGTCGGGTAATGGGGAGGCCGCAGGAGCAGAAGCGCCCCCAGGATAACAAGCCCTCGTATCATGAGAAGTTTGTGGCCCCCGAGATGAGCATGGTCAATTATTTCATGGCAAAAGTAAGAAAGATGTTGGATTCATGTCTGAAAAATGATTTTTGTGTATGGTGTGAGGAAATGGCTTATTTATTGCAGTTTATTCTCTTACGATGAAAAGATAAGAAAAATGACACACAGAAGATTTTAAAATAACACATTGTCATTACAAAGGATACATGTACACATGTATGCTTTCTGTACTGTTTAGTACTTAATATGTATATATACCAAATTACCTGTGATTTTTGTCAAACTCGAAACTCAATATAATGTGATGTACTTCTTTTTCTCTCATTTTTAATTATAACATTTCCCCTCTTATTTTAATATGATGGGTAGATAAACCAAAACACTTTTTTAATTTCTTTCAAATATGATACCCTTTACCAAAATACTTTCTGCATGATGTCTTTCTCAGTGATTATTTTGCACTTATTCCTGTTCCAGCCCATGGTAGCCCGTGAGGAGTCTGGAGTGGACTATGACAGCGAGGAAGATGTATTGGACAGCACCAGTGAGGATGACAGCAGCGAGGAGGAGGATTATGATTCTTACTTGTCTGGTCCTCCTAAGAAGGAAAAGTAAGTTGGTACTGCTGAATCATTATTTTTAGCATAGTTGGACGTGGAATATTACAAAATCATGTCATATATTAAAATGATGGTATGCCACAAATGCATTCAGTATTTCAATATCAATTTTTAGGGAGCCAGACCCCCGTATGCAGGAACATCTGGACCCAGACTCCTACAGTTGGTGTTTGATGAGATATGCCCTGGTCAAATATGCCTGCCATTCCTTCCTGACCTTTTTGCCAATAGCAGGGCTAGAGCTGCAAGGTATGTGAAGTATTTTTGTTAGTCATATAACAAGAGTTTTTTCTCCAAATGCTCCATCGTAAAAGCTGTAACCTTAAATTGAATTATTAATATTTAATAGATGAATTAAAAAAACATTTTCTTTTTTAATGCCATCACCTGTATCCGCATGTCTTCCAGTGACCCAGATTACTCCTTTCATTGTCATGTAGACCTGATTCATTTGTCACATTGTACATACCTGAGTTTCCTTCCAGACCTGCCAGTAGCCTCCCCTCTCCTCCATGCCACCTTGAAGTCACTGGAAAGATGGCAGCTGACACTGAAGAGAAAACTGGTGCAGCATGGAGGACCACCAGATAACTACATCCCTGGCTGTTATATGGAGCCTACATCAGGCCCGGCCATCCTCAAGTATAAAGGCATGCTAGAGCCTTACAATACTCCATTTGTGTAAGTACACACACTTGTGGGCATATATACACACACACTCTAACATTGGCATTCCACAGTATTTCTTTATGTCTATGAAGATGAAAAAAAGAGTTGGATGTTTATACATTGTATATATCAATACGTAAAAAAATGTATATGAGAATGTTTCCCCTTCAAAAAAATCATTTGTATTTATTCTTATATATTAGTTGAAAAGAGATAAGCGAGAAATTCAGTTGCATATTTTCAAACCCTTTTTCATGGGCAGGTATAAAAGAAGTGGTTTGAAACGGGAAGAATATTGTAGTATAGCCCTATGGGAATTTTATAAGTTAGAGATATGTGGAATGAACAGTCTGGTGCGAAGTGTTTTAAAATTTCAGGGAAAAATGACATGTAGGGTATTATGTGACTCTGCCAGATATGTTGAGATAGAGTGGGAAAGATAAAAATGTTTGTATTTGGTCTGCGGTTTTTGCAAGGATGTTGTGATATAGATATTGGACTGTGTTAGGGAAACTGTTCTATTCATTTCTTATGTTGGATGTAAACTAAGTGTTTATGTTGATAGTATCTACTGTTGTAATGCATCTAGTGCTATAGAAGTGTTATGTTCATAGGAATAAAACAACTCTGTTCACAGTTTTGTTATGTATATCTCAATAGTTGTCCTTCAGGTTCAAACAAAGACAACTTCTTGCTGTTGCACCCTATTAGTTGCATTACATATATCTCTTCGAAATTGGAATTTAAGAAACCTTGAACAATGCTAAATTTGTCCTGATAAAGGGTTCCTGTAAAATGTTTTATGTTCCAAAATGAATGATTATGTAGACTTTTCATACTTTGGTGGTAGTGACAGTTCCGGAATTTAAACATCATTCATTTTATTGTCCTGGGTCTATATACTTCAGGAAGTAATATTATCTTATGTGGAACTATAGCCAGTTCAGTGTGGCTGAACAATCAAGTTTTGAATATAACATTTTATCTGTTTTTGCCTCTTTTTCTCCAGTGCAGCTTTTTTGCTCATCTTTAAAATCAAAATGAGCTCATTCTCATAAGATGCTTGATAAGTGACATGCACTACATTCAAGTGATGCATGGATTTATTCCTCAGATTTTGAAAAGCACACTACGTATTTATTGCATGCTGTTGTAAATATTTCTAGGTTCCAGAAATTATGGGATCATCACAATACTCCATTTTCGTAAGTTTTTTTTTTTTTAGAAAGATAATTTCACTTTTTTTCTTTTTTTCCCCACTTAATCACCACAGATGTTTATTTCCCTTCTTTATTTTCCACTTTTTTGGGTATTGGGGCATGTAAAAGACTTTTTGTTAACTTAAGGCACAGCACATTATTATTATTATTTTTTCTTTTTCTTGTACATATCTAACTGTTTTCAGCATGATTTGAATAGTTGTGTAGATGGTGGCTTAGTGTCAAGCATGCGTCAATGGCATTTGTGTTTTTATTGGATCCCATGGCACAGTTCTGGTACTAGTGATATTCCAGGTCTTTATTTTTTCTGAATACCAGGAACAAAGACAGCAATCAGATTTTTATTCATACATTTTTGCATTTTCCAAGACCTAAGACCTCTTTTGAAGTCACAGAGTTATTTGTTTTATACCCAGGAATGAAATAGGGTATCTAGACTTTGTCTTGAATGTGAGCTTGGATATAAATGTATGTATGGCTTTTTTTTTTTTTTTTTTTTGTGTGTGTGTGTGTGTGTGTAAGTATATTTCACACTCATCAAATTTCACATGCTTTAACAGAGCTAATATAGCCTAAGGGGCACCTCAGTGCCCATGGAGTGGGTCACCCAGGCACCTGAAATAACAAAACACCATTGATTTGATGCAGAAAATAATTTTCATGTTTGTAAAATATACCATTTATTTTATTTATATTTATTGTTCGCCAAATCTTGGCCTCATAACTCTGCTGTTATATTATAGCCAATCAGTTTTTAAAAAATTGAAAATTGCCAACATATTTGTTGATTATCATACCAATATATAATTATGTCTCAGATCTAAGTTGTCAAATAGCAGATTATCTGTCATTGGTTTCAGGGTGAAAGCTGTTTATATAATGTTTTATATATGTCTACTGTTTATGTACTATATATTTTATATAATTAACATTGTTGATATAATATAATGTATTAATTCTGGTATTGATTGTCTTTTCTAGGTCCCAGAACTCAGCCATGCCAGCCAAGAGACTGTGGATGCACTTGGTGAGAACTGAGTACCTGCAGGATGTCTTCATTAGGTACATCTTCAAGAAGAAGCAGGCAGGCTCAGATATGGTAATTATACTCACGACATGTTCATGTTGTTATTGAATAATGTTTGTTTTTGTCATTTGCAAAGAAAAGAAGTTACATTGTCTAAGTATTATGTGTTGTCCTGCTACGAAATTTATGATAATAATGATGTTAACAAATAATCATTGTGTGCACATCTTCATAACATGTAGTGAAGCCTCTAAAGTTGCTTATTTTTTTCTTACCTATCACCAGAAAAAGAATATATTATGCTGTGTTATTTAGTTTTCTTAGCTCACTGTAATGACAATTTAACCTTGATACTGTGTCATGTCCTGTATCTCCTTATTTGAATATTCTTTGATGAACATAACCTTAACAAGAATGCATTCCTGTATAACTTAAAACTAATGTAGAATGAGAGAATAGGCACTGGGCTAGCTTTAGAATAGAATTAGTACAAAAAACTCTTTTTCTTTAATATGCATGTTTCTGAAGTGTTTCAGCAATATAAAAAATATATATACTGTCTAGTTTTATAGTTTTAACACTTTGCAGTATTTATGTCGTTAATTTTTTTTCTGGATAATTCAAGTATGGACTTAAAACCTTTTCACAGAATTAACAGCCTTAATGGGGCATTTTTTGACCTCCTTGTGAGATGAGACATTTATAAAGGGGCCCAAAAAGGGACTCGTGTTGCATCATGGAATGTTGAATCCCTGAGAAGTTGGACCTTTTACTACATTAAGATAAAATTGCTTAAAATTACTTATAATGACACCTACACAGTAGAAGATAAATGTCATGCTTAACTTTCTCAAAAAAAAAAAAAAAAAAAGAAAAAAAAGACCCCTAGAAAAATAAATGTCTAGCACTCCTGTATTTTAAACATAGTGCACCAAAGTCATCCTATTGAGTGCATGTGTTCATTGCATGAAGAACTAAGGAAAGGGTATGACTGCACCAAAGTGTCCAAGAATTTTTACACAAGAAACAACAGTAAATATTATGGCAGAGGGGTTTTGAATAGATACACTTTTTATGTACAGACACAGATGTGTCTGTACATATAGCCATCATCTGCGTCTGTCGTCGCCGTCGTCGCCGTACACTTTTACCGATAACACGATAAGTGGAAAACCATTTTACCTTTTGACTTGAAACTTGCAGAACTGATGAATATTCATAATACGAGGTCAAGTTCGAAAATCAGCATGATCGGGTCACTTTTAGGGAATTTATGCTGTTTTTTCACTTTTTTCAGCATATATGCAGCACCGATAACACGATAAGTGGAAAACCATTTTACCTTTTGACTTGAAACTTACAGAACTGATGAATATTCATAATACGCAGGTCAAGTTCGAAAATCAGCA